ACATACACACGCATGCACGTCGTTATATGAGCGAAATATTCTCAAGCACGACGTAAAACCCACTTTTACCTCACCTAACAAGTAATGGTGAGCAATGTACGGGTTATTCTCTTCTAGCTATTCCTTGAACTGCTCCAATTGTGATGATAGCTGCTCACCATATTTACCACTGGTTTGTTCAGTCTTCACTACATTTCGTGCATGTTGCTGTAATATTTTGACTTTTAATAATAGGCCTCCATTTGGCAAAGAAAATATCATTTTATCCAACTTTAAGCAACATTGTAGTCATTTGTTGTCAAGGGACACAAAGTATTGTCTTTGCACATTTCACATTTAACCCATGATAAAATTCAACAGATGTTTGGAGTGATAATTCTTTACCCCTTAAATGCTAAGCTTAGTGACCCCACTGTACATCCCACAGATCGATGTTTTGGAGTTACAGTTACGGATATATGTTTTGCAATGTCAATGCCAATCCCAGTGATTCTTATGAATATGCTACCTCTGTAACATCACAGGCATAAATTTGGGAGTTGTCATACTCTAAAATCTTCAGATTTGCAACAAACCCTCTTCACTGTCAACTATCCATAATCAGTTGTGCAAGTAATAGTATCATGCGGATAGGTAAGACAGGAAACCCTCATTTCATTCCTCAATGGTCTTATGGCAACTACGAAATGTTTTGATTGATGTTGTGTTACTACCTATATGTGTTTGTACGTTGAGCCTTGATGATAGCAGTTCCAGTACTCCGTAGCCTTTATTTTCGTCAACATCATTCTGACGGTAGCCAGTGTTTATTTTTCCTTGGAGAATTGTATGACATCATCAGTCGCCAACCATCCAAACACATCAACATCGTGGTCTGTACCAATTTACTTCTCTGTCACGGTGCCAAGGTAAGGGAGACGACTTTGTAGATAGCATACAAGTCATTCTCTCTCCTCAGAACACGGAACCAACATACTCTTGCTTACAGATTCATTGGATCCTTACTAATTGGTATTCCACAGACAGGCACCTCTTTGAAGGTAACCTCTGAGTTGGAAAGAAGGGGATCATCAAATTTGACTCCTCAAGGATTGGGAATTCTGTGTTGTATTTTGCAGCTGTAGAGTTTGACATACAGGTTTGTTACTTCTGTGTTTCTAGGTTTTGTCTAGCTATATGCTCTGTTTAATGGCATGTTTTGTTTGGGTTTGTTCTTTTCTCTGTGGTTCATGGAATGGTAACATTGGGTACATAAGCTCATGGTTGTTTACATCGTATCTCGGTCAGGTTGTGAAGTGGAATAATGCCACAGTGTTGGAGTGCTCTGGATCAATAGTAGCTGTGGATGGTGGTACTTTGCATTACGTGTCAATGGCAGAGCATGCAGGATTGTTCAGGCTGAAATGACTTGTACCTCACAAAACCAAAGGGTCTACATGAATGTACAGCTCTGTAGACCCCTGTACTGACACATGTGTCAGGTTATTCTTGTAATTTCACAAATTGCCAAGATTTAATAGTAACTCAGTTTTCTGTTACAATTGGGTTGACTACTTTATTGAAATCATTTCTTGTGTCCCCCGCCGTGATATTGCTGGAATATTGCTAAAACGCGGCGTAAAACCATACTCACTCACTCACTTTATTGAAATCCAGACCTTACCTGGTTTAGTTTGATTTGTTTTCATGATTTGTTCTGTAATGCTGCACTCAGCAATATTCTCGCCGTATGACAACAGCTTGTATGTAATGGTCCTGGACCAGACAATCCAGTGATTGATATTGTGGGCAGGGATCAATGCCATTTGAGTTCTATGACACTATCAACCAAGTCACTGTGTTTGTCCATCTGATCCATATGTTTCTTATATATTATTTAAATATTGCCACTAATTTCAGTTCTGGTAGACTGCCTCCGTGGTGTAGTGGTTAGAGCATCCGCCTGGAGAGCGGAAGGTCGCAGGTTCGATCCCCGGCCGCGTCATACCAAAAGACGTTAAAATATGGTACTTGTTGGTCCCTGCCTGGTGCTCGGCATTAATGGGTACAACAGGGACTGGTTGGCTCGGAGTCAGTATAATGTGTCTGAGTGGGGTATTCATGCTTCACTGCGGCATGGTATCTCACTGGTCTAGCACTATAAAACCAGCTTCAGTCTGGGCTAGTACAAGCAGTCGCACATACACATACACACGCATGCACACGTCATCATATGAGCGAAATATTCTCAAGCACGACGTTAAACCCAATTTCACCTCACCTCAGTTCTGGTAATATATTACATTATTCAAAACGTGATATAATCATTAGCCATATGTTGCATGTATTACTGGAGATGAATGTGAGTACTAATGAAACTGAAAGTAAAGAAGCATACTATAGCTCACATGCCATGGTCAATATGTTCTACATAGGAATAGTGATTAGTGATCGTGACATATTTGGTAGATCGATGATTATGCTGTTGATCACTGGATTGTCTGGTCCAGACTTGATTATTTAGAGATTGCTGCCATATTGCTGAGTGCAGCGTTAAACAACAACCAATCATGACCTGATTGGGACTATCGATTGACCAATGTGATGTCAGTTTCAGCTGTCGATTGGCCAATGTGATGTCAGTTTCAGCCGTTGATGCTATAATCGTCTATATATGGATGCTGACAATTGTGAAACATGGGGTAGCCTATTATTCATGTTCTGTAAGACTAATGACACAGCTGGGACTACTATATAGATGGTAGTCTGATATAGGTATTATTTATGGAGGATTAGTGACCTCTGCTTGTGGTCTGCAACTTGACCGTTAGAGCAATGTCCATTTACGCTTGTCAGAAAGTTACACAAAGTATGGATCCAGTCCATCAGTTGTCTGACCTCCATTTCGTGGAAGACTTGTTGGCTTGGTGGGAAAGGTTCCTGACTCTGTTGCCATTGATTAGGTACCTCACTATGAGGGACTTGGGGACTTTAACAGCACTAGAGTGTGTAGTTTACTAAGAAGCGTAAAGTATAACATTTCACCACTTTGTAATTAGACAGGCAGCACTTCTGTATCAGTTTCATGTTGTAAACTGATGGAGTATAAGACATTGACTGTGTACAAATGTGGGCCAGTGACATGATGCGGGAGGGTATACAAAACCCGGTTACCGACATAAGATTAGATAACACCAGGGTGGCACGTTTGTATGTCTGTTGGTGACCTACTGTTGTAACCTGGCATACAGTCGTGTAGTGGATCAGTTGTTTGTGGCCATGGCTGAAGACACAGGCCAATGTGTAATAATGTACTGTGTATCTGTCCAATCAAGACCCCAGATTCTTGGCTTAGAATGTGCCAATACATTAACTATTACTCAAATCCTCTTTGATAACTACTTGAGAAATACTCCTGAAATATAAATTCAAACTGACAAATGTGAAACTTAGCTGGGGGAAGGGTATTGGGTGTCATGACAGTCATCTCTTGTTTGTAGTAGACACAGAGGTCAGTAGGTTGAGAGTTTAGTTCCAAATATGGTTGTGCCTGTCTCAGCAGGAAGCTGTAGTTGATGGCACTGATAGTTTAGAGAGATTGCTGCAAAGGGGCTATCCCTGTAAGGAGTTTGGTTACTTATAATATGGTAGTCTGTCTCACAGTTACTATCAAAATCATATATATTCAGGGACTAAGCGTAAGTTTAATAATATGGCTGTTGTGGCCAAATGTAATGTGACAGATTATGTTCAAAAATATTAACTCATTGTTTTCAAAATTCTCGATAGAGACTTGTCACAAGTGGGTGAAAGACTGAGTACAAAGGAATAATATTGATATACCCAGAGAGAAGGGTTGTGTGAGTAAATACCCAAGTAAATACTCAAAGTATTATCTTGAGAAGTGCCCAGGATTATGAGGAACAGGTGCCGCTGGACAAATGCTGTGGGTTTATGGCTGTACACTGGGTCCAGATACAGATTGGCTTATCCAAGTGAAATTGATGTGATGGTGTGACCCAGTTCCACTGACATAATTATCAATCGTCATGGCAACACTTTTGGAAGTACTTACAAATTGAGATATGTAACTACTTTCAGTGAGTATAATTGCCAATTACGATAGTGAAATTTGTGAATGTACAAAACAGATTCAGAGTTGATTTGAAGTTTTATTTGGCTTTATTAGAAATACCTCTTGAATAATAGATGCACTGAAATGAACAAAGGAAAATCTATACACTTTGATTTCCAATCAAAACATCTCAACAATGCTTTTCTGACTTTCGCATCATGAATAATATAAGGTATCATGATATTTTCTGATCCATTAAGAGCACAATTGTAACATTACCATATTGTCGCAGGTATTAGATGTATTCTGTTTAAATATAAACAGCAAGCGTTTCACTTGCACACAGAAGCATCAACTGTCACTTGAGGTCACACTGCACTGTATGTATCATAGAGAACTGTTCATGGTGTCGCATTGTGCTGGATATGCTTCCATTGTTACCTATCACCAGGTGTTGCTCTCACCTGACAGTTCATGTGAATAGAGGTGGGATTTACCTGGTCATTATGCGGACCTTACTTCTCACCTGCTTCAGGTAGTGGCTACATGGAAGAAAGAATGTTGTTGTGTTTTTGGTTGTCGATGTGGGATGATATTTTGTTGCCTTCAGGACGTCGGCAGCAATTCTGAGTCATATCATGTTCCCAGGGATCAAATTCAGTCTGGTTGCTTCGTATAAACCAATCCATGAATATTCTATTCATTGCAAAATTTGTGAATTAATTTGTGTTGGGGATAGTTTAGCACGTGAGGATCTTGAGGGTTTGTAACGTAATCCTTCACATAATTACTTTCATGAACTTACATTGTGGGCTGGTTCCATAATTGCCAGTTTTCCTGGAGGTATATAAATCTGTCGGTTATATTAGATTCATGTTAGATGGAGATGGGACACTGGTTGGATCCAGTGTGATAATTTTCTTAAATTTTGTTTCTCTTGTTCCAGATTGCAAGATGGAGTCGCTTGTGGAGATTTATACATGAAGGGGAATGCGACACATGCACAGAGATAGTGCTCGACCCTGACCTTGATCCAAGCTCTGACCTTGACCCACGGGTCAAAAAGTTCCTAATGGACAGGTCAATACTCAAAGTTCATCTTCCTAATGGGGGATTTAACATGGTGAAATATGGCGACGCCACCGATATCAAGGTGAGTTAATATAATGATTGGTGTTGTCCAGATCACTAGGGGATACAACGTTCTTGAGTCCATTAGTATTGGCAGGCAGGGTGTGCTTCACTGGTCCAAGTAATGAAAGCCACAAGTCATGATTTTATTTGGCAAGGAGTTCGGTTATTGCCATTTGCGAAAATAAGTCATATATTATTCTCTTTATTATCTCATTTCATTCATATAATGCAACAACTTTTGAAAGCTCTATGTTATTTTAGATAAGTTCAGTTTTAGTGTATGTCACAACTAAATCATTATCATTAACGAGAAGTCCAAAATGTGTCATAAAATGCAGTCTTCAAATAGAGTAATACATGAACTGATGAGAACTGTCGGGACCAGCCCGTATCACTTGCTTGGGAAGTGCAGTTTATATTCTCCAAGCTGCATTGTATTGGAAGTTATTACAACTGAAAGCAAAACTAATTTCAAATGTTACAATGAAGGCAAAGAAGTGAACTTCATGTATATTCATAACTAGAGAAGAAGTACCTTATGACTATCTGATGATGAAATGCCCAAACAGATTGGACGTTTTCGTATAGAGATGAAACAAGGGAATGAAGTAGTTAATGTTTCACTTTGCATATTGACTAGCGCCAAATTATCTGTGGTAAAAGGTTCTTTATTTTCCAATATTCATGCCGTTTGATGGTTGTTACCATAAATATTTGTTGAAACTGTAATTTACAGAACCATTTGTAGATATCGATTCACAAACATTGTCATTATGTTTCATCAACATTCCAGAAAAGAGATCATTACAGTCTATACTGTTCAAAAGAAATTAAGAATGACCCAATTCTTCTATAATGCTATATTTAATCTTTTCATAATATGACAGATTAACTGTAGAAACATGATAGAAACGTGGATCGTGGTCTTTAACTTCTTTTAAGCAGTATATAAGATAAGGCAGATTGACCCTCATATTGAGCCTTGACCTTGACCTTGATCTGTTGACCATTCAGATGATGATGGTACTGTGATGGATCTGTAATAAATTGTGATGTTGGCCGATGATATGCTAGGAATAATGGCCAAACCATATGGCATGGATAAAGTCCATAAATTACATGCCATACAGAACATTAATCATACATCAATAAGCCACAGAATGATCAGTTAGCTGATAGAAGAAGTTGGGCAGATGTTGGTTTCTAATTCCTGTTAATGTTCATTATTCTCAATAATTTGCTGTAGTTTATGGCATCAAGTTCCGAAATAGGCTTTTGATTCAGATAACTTTACAGAATGTGTAACACATTAGGAATAAGTATCATTCAAGGCTGCTGGAGTAGTAGTCTATGACATGTTAATTACTGTTTTTGGTGAAGCACAGAATGGGGGCTTTGGTTGAAGCTTGTTCACTGCAGTGCTGATTGATGAAACATGAGACGGACTGCTGTGTGGTTGTTTCTGCTGCACATGGTGTTGATGTTAGGCTAACCCTGATTCTACATCACAGGGATATCTGTGGTACCTTGGTGTGTGGTTGTTTCTGCTGTACATGGTGTTGATGTTAGGCTAACCCTGATTCTACATCATGGTGATAGGAGTAGTCTGTGGTACCTTGCTAGTCTGTCATATCCAAGAAACCCATGCACGTCTATGATATGTGGCAAGTCTAGATTACTGCTGTTTCAACAATTTTCTGAAAGTGAAGAAAGTCTCCTAGACTCCTTTTCATTATATTTCATTAAGCTAATTTGATAACTGTTTATCTGTAAAGCATGTTTATTTCAGAGATTAGATGTTAGTCTAGTACCCTGCTTGTTGCAAACGACAACCTACCAGTTGAGATATGGTGTTTTTATGTTACTTAATCTTTGATTGCTTGAGTTGGTGAGAATACTGTGCTTAGTAATCTATGTTATCCTGCTTGTTGCAAACGGGAACCTATCTTTGTGAACAGGGTGTATATATCTGAGACTACATAAGGTGTACATGCCATGGCAGCATTTATTCTGCTGGACCCAGCCCACAAAACCATCCTTGTAATCTAATTGTAATCTCTTTATTGAACACTGTCAGTCGAAGTGCTAAAATCACTTTGTAGAATAGGGTTGATCTTTAAGTATCCATCCATCAGTTTCATTGATTCAGTTTCTCAAGAATACAAAACATAAAGTTGTACCTGGACATGTAGACTAACAACTAGTCTCTGAAATAAACATATTTTACATATACAACAGTTCATAATTAAAGAAAATATAATATAATGATAAGGGCCGTATCGGCGTATGTACAGATGAAAAATATGCAGGATACCATAGGAAATGATTTAGAAGATGTAGCAGATACGCACCACAGCAATGGTGTACAGTCTTAGAATCATTTACAGACATATTTATTTGAAAAAGTATTGTTTTTTTGTTTATTGGCCTGTTTACACAAGAGTAGCAATGTTGTGGTGCAGATATGAAACGAAACACAATATTACCGATACGCCATTAAATTCCATTCAGTACTCCATGGATATATTTGTTTCAGGGTCTGTATGACAGACTACTGGACATGCTGACAATTGTAGAGCTTAGAACACTTTGAAGAAAAGTCTCCTTGATCTTTAAGGGTCCATCCCCCGATTCTTGTTTCATTGATTCAGTTTCTGAAAGAAACAAAACATAAACCTGTACCATGGACATGTTGACAATTGTAGTGCTTAGAACACCTTGTAGAACAAGGCCTCCTTGATGTTAATGGTTCCATCCTTGAGTGTTGTTTCATTAATTCAGTTGCTGAAGGATATGGGGCGGTGGAGTAGCCTAGTGGTTAAAGCGTTGGCTCGTCACGCCGAAGACCCAGGTTCGATTCCCCACATGGGCACAATGTGTGAAGCCCCTTTCTGGTGTCCTCTGCCTTGATATTGCTAGAATATTGCTAAAAGCAGCATAAAACTAAACTCAGTCAGTCAGTCTGAAGGATATAATACACCAATATGTTCACTGCACTACACTGGTTCACGCCAGTGCATTTTTATGCAGCTGATTGTAGACCATGTTGGCATGCAATGGGGCATCATGAACCTCCCACCAGTGCAATGGTCAACTCAGTGCACATACATTGTGGTAATTCTGTTGCAAGTTCATCTGAGAGAGTTTTCACAATGCTGTACAAGTGCAGCCAGATGTAAATACTGACCGGATTTATTGTAAAAGGTTTGTAGAAACTGTTGATTCTCAAAACAATTATGGAGGGAGCAATGATTGCAGATTCCCATGTGAGAGCATTAGAGCTGATCAATCTCCTTAATTTTTAAAGACTCGGAGCTGTGTTTTTTTAAGCAACATTGTTGTGAGACACCTCATGGAGCAAGTGGGAAAAGTCCTGAGATTCCAGTTTAGTTCAGTGAGTGTATCATGGTACATAGGAGCTGGTGTATCATCTCATTAGGATGACAATCAGTGTAAACATTTGGGGATATTGTAGCCACAGTTTGGTACCTTCAGGCATGGAGTAATATGTGCTCCAGTCCTTTTGCTGCAATTCTTGATTCCTTCGAAGTGCAATGATGTTGTACTTGATTACTTCACAGTCTTGTGCTGTAGTATTTGATTAATTCTTACCCCCACTTTTGTGATCCGATACTCGATTACTGCACAGTTGCTATAAATCTAGAAGAGTAAGAATTCTAGTAATGTATTAGGGAAGATATTCCCTTGATAAAAGATGTATAATAATTAACAAATTCTCAGATAAATTGTTTTGTGACTTAATTGGATTAAGAAAGATTGGCATCACAGATACTACTTTTTTTAATCCTCGGACACTATCAACCTAATTTGTAGCAAAATTACTTTTAGTTTTTATTTATCAAAGAAAATTATGACATCCAGGTTGTGCATTTTATTGTATTTGGAAGAGGTTACTTGTATGAATTTTATCAGAAGTCACTGGCAGAGGACAAACTGATGTGATATTTATTTGCTCGACAATCTTGATAAACATACATCATATCTGTTTTATGATTGCCTTGACAAGCACCTCCTCCCTCTCTCTCTCTTTCTCTGTCTCTCTCCATCTCAACCTCTCAGCCTCTATCAACCTCTACCCAAATCTAATGTACACCACACCAATTGCCCCATGTAATAAAACACTGACAGATCACATCGTTTATCAAGTAGCATGTTCAACACACATTTATCATCAACCAAAATATAGAGATTATTTCAATGATTCATAAGCTTGCTGTTCTTCTCAGTGAAGTGTTGGACATTCAGATACAGGGTTAACTTGTAGTTTGGGAAGTAAATGCAACAGCCATTCCGTGCCAGAGTCAAAATGAGTTATGGTTGTAGATTCCCAGAGGGATGTAAAACAATTGGATGATACCCCAATCAATATCAGTGTGAACTGAAATCATCTTGTGTGTGACACCATAGTGATTAATCTCCTACTTAAGGGAATAGGCAGGTGATGGAAACAGATATTATAAATGACAAAAACGCTTGCAGGTTATGGTTTTCTTTATTTAAAAAAGCTAAAATCACTGATATCGTTAAAACTAGACAGTGACAAATGCCATTCTGTTATTGTTTTGCCATTACAATAGCAAATTAAAATGAATACGAACATGTATTGCTGCACCCTAGAGCAGTATTCAAAATGAAGAGGTATTCTTGATCTGTATAGGTATGCCCTTAGGTCCCTGGGTCCAAATACTGTCGTGAACTGTAACATAACGGTTTTAGAAGGTCAATCAACTATTTAAATGCTGTAGGGCAATAAAAGTTATTTGCAAAGAAAGATTTTAGCTGAGATATATCCGTTTGAATGCATATTACTCTTCTGATTCAAGGAATGCAACATGTTAAGTAGATGGTACATACTCAGTTCTGTTTATGACTGTGGAATACAGCAGATGAAATGAAGCAGTTGGGTGGCCTAGTGGTTAAAGTATTTGCTCATCATGCTAAAGGCCTGGGCCCCTTTTCACAAAGCTCTCTTAAGTCTAAGATCTCATAACTTTTCTCGTAGCATTTGTACTTCCTATGTTACAGTATAGAATGTACGAATGCTGCGAGAAAAGTTACAAGATCTTAAACTTACGAAAGCTTTGTGAAACAAAGCCCTGGGTTTTAATGCCCCTATGGGTACACTGTGACACCCTGACTATTTCTTGTGTCCACCCATTGAGATATAAGGGCTGACCAAATGGATCTAGTGGTCAGGTTCAGTGACTTCGTTCACTGCGTATCACCTGCACCCCAGTGATATGGAACTTGCTCACAATATAATAACTGGATTGACTAGCCCAGACTTGCTGTTTACTTTCTGCAGTCATAGGGCTGGTATATATTGCCAGTAGTGTTGGGAATCGGAAACCAAATCCACTATCGATTATCGGAGGATTGTGGTGAACGATTATCGATTATATTCAAAATATATACATTTTTAATGAAATCACCAATTTGAAGGGTTTTTCCCCAGGTTTTTTCTAATAAATGTTCCTCATAACTTACTGTCATGCAATGAAATGCATGCATGCAAGAAATACACTGGAATTGTAATTAAACAATACAAGTAGTTAAAATTTTACAATGTGCATAGCTTTACACTGTTGAACGCATGTTTGTTCTTGAATATTTGTCAAATTTAATCGCTAGTTTACTTCATTCAAGTGTGTTAAACTAAAACAACAAAATTCCAATTAATCGAAAATATGTTTTTTTTACAATCGATAATCATTTTAATCCCTCTTTCGATCGATTTTCGATTATTTTCGATCATTTTCGATCATCGGAACACCACTAATTGCCAGGTGTGGTGTCGACAGACTTACGAACAACAATTATATATATCAATTGATATTGCTGACCAAGATCTGGTCCGGCTCAAGTACAGTAAACTTACAGATATGACAAACTCAAAGGGACAATTATCTTTAGTATGTTAGGCCCTTGAAGATCCGGGGTAGAATAGGTCTTCAGCAACCCATTCTTGTCGTAAAAGGCAACTATGCTTGTCGTAAAAGGCGACTAACGGGATTGGGTGGTCAGGCTCGCTGACTTGGTTGCCACGTCATCGGTTCCCAATTGCGCAGATCGATGCTCATGCTGTTGATCACTGGATTGTCTGGTCCAGACTCGATTATTTACAGACCGCCGCCATATAGCTGGAATATTGCTGAGTGCGGCGTAAAACTAAACTCACTTCAGTATGTTATGACTGTAGTTTATTGCGCTCAGCTTGACTAAAATATACAGCAATTGTCCAGGCCTGAAAAAAGTCCCAATGGTTATAAGCATGTCCATTATACACGTTGTTTATTATATACAACTTTAGTAAATGTCATCAGGCTTGACTGTAACTGTGGTAACAAGGTCCTACAATGTCTGGTTTTGGTGTAAAAGTCACCAGATTAATACTCACATATTTCAATAATCATATTGTCAGTTTCACTTCAGTATTTGTAAGTAAACATTGGAGAGTCGTTAGCACCGCCACCATAATCATCTGCGATTTCATCTTCATCAGCTCTCTCAATCTTGATTTCAATCTCACAATCTGGAGTAACTTGATCCTCTTCTGCTTCTGAGGTCATAGGATCACCTGCTTGTTGGGTCACATGATCAGCATATTTTGGGGTCACATGATCAGCATATTTTAGGGGCACGTGACGGGTGTTTACAGGTTCTTCTTGTGGTGTCTGGGATTGAACTGGAGGGTGCTGGTTACCAGCCAAAGTAACTGTTGAGGCAATCACTGGCCCTGGCTTCTGTTGTTCATTTTGTCCGCTTTGTCTGTTTGCAGAAGACATTTTCTCTGCCTCCTTTAGTTCAAACATTTTCATCATGTATTCTGGAATTTGTGTTTCACTTGTCCAGCCTCGACAAGCAACAGTTTTCCATATCATGTCTGGTTCACTGGGTGTTTGTCCAAACACTGACTGGAAAGGAGATCGGAAAGATTCCGAACTGACAGCTGAGTTCATTTGAAAGATGGCCACTCCTAAACCTTTAGCCCAGCCGACCTTGTCGTCCTCATATTGAGCCATCCATGCACCGAGTTTGCTCTGTAGATCTGCACATGATCGCTCACCCACACCGATAAATGCCGTATGATCAGTTTTACCAAGAAGAACAATCAAATTCGGCCAATACAGTTTCAGTTCGTTCAGCGTTTCTGCAATATTTGGAACTTGTGTTTCTGAGGCATGTAGAAATTTCGGCGGACCAAATTGTCCGAAAAATTGTAGCAGACATCCAATAATTTCATCTCCATTTCTAATAGGCCATGCTGTGGCAAATTTGGTGGCACAATCTCGAAGAACCAGAATGTAATTATACTCTCCATCTGGCATGTCAACCATGTTGATAACACTGAGTGCTAGCCTCGTCATGAAGCCCTGACTAGCAACCACCATATCTGTGGTCAGTGGTTTGGTTCGGATAAAGTTGTTCGATAACTCCCCACAACAGGTCTTGCATGTTGTGATGTAAATATCAATAATGTCTCGTTTGACCCATGAGTGTCGAGCACACACTTCTTTCCACGTGCCCTCCTTCTTTCTGTGTCCAATCTTACAGTGGTAGCCATGAATCACATCAAATAGATCCTCTTTCACTACAACAGGTTTATGAGTCTTTTTGCAGAGCAGTTCCATCCCTGTAGGTCCTGGGTAGAACTTTTCATGCACCCAAAACTTCATCCTTGCTCCTTGCTTGCATTTCAGCCCTTTCTTTATCTTGAGTAGAGACAGGGCAGTGTCTTGCATTTCCCTTGTTACAACATACTTGTCTCTCTTCAACTTGCTAATGTTTGTTTGAATATGCTTATCCAGTCGTCCATAGAACTCCTCTCTTTGTTCAGCATTTGGATCCATCACTGTGCTAGGTATCTGCCTTGTTATCTTTACAAACTTTGAGTTAGAAATCCCCTCATACCACAACCACCAACACAACCTTTCCCAGCTTTCTCAGGGACACACAGACAGACAAGTCATCATCTGACCCCGTTTTAGCCAATCACAGTAGACAAAGCACACTGTCAGCTCAGGGAGGCCTGGCTGATCTATTTATAGCCAGCTAGCTAGCATTCAGAATCTGTGTGCAGTCCAGTTCAGAATCTTAGCCTAGAGCTCTCTCCTGCCCAGGCTAAGCTGCACACAGCTATTGATTCATGGCTGGTTTTGACTGTTTCTTTAGAATGTTGCCAGCATTTCTTACAGTAACTTGTATTATTTTAAGATTTGAAAGCAGTCAACATATATGTCATGCTATGAGTGCATAGGTAGCTTCAGCTGACAGCATTTCAGTAATTAAAATATAACACTTAGTCACAAATTCCCATTGACAAATATGCTGATATTCTCCTCTTGTCTGGAAATGGATATAATGTATGGGTTAATTACAACTGTTGCTACATGTGTGATTCAGGAATTATTTTAATTTTTAAATTTATCATTAAACTCAATATTTAATATGTAAGATAAACATGATTGAGATGAGGGGTGAAGTCATTTTCATTGATCAGCTTTTAGAATAGCTGTATTGTTTTTAACACAATCAGCATTTGATTACAATATTCCCCATATTAGCCACCCTGCAGAGATTCTGGACGTGTCTGAAGGTAATCATTACAAACACCACCTTCTTAGTGGTGAAGGGGGCGGTGGGGTAGCCTAGTGGTTAAAGCGTTGGCTCGTCAGGCCGAAGACCCGGGTTCGAATCCCCACACGGGTACAATGAGTGAAACCCATTTCTGGTGTTCCCCCCGTGATATTGCTGGAATATTGCTAAAAGCGGCGTAAAACCGAACTCAGACAGTCAGTCTTAGTGGTTAACAAAATGTCAAATTGAATGTATCTGGTCAATAAAGTTATGTAGTCAGTGTCAGCTTCCTATTATCTCTGCTACTAATAAATAAATAGATTTAGCATGGCAAAATGCTGAATGTACTGGAATTTTATGATCAGGTGTTTAGTTTGAATAAAGATGTTTTTGTGTATAATCCACTCTTTTTATGTGTGCATTTTTGTTCTTTTCACTTAATTGTAAAACAGACAGCACACGGGTAAATTTGTATCAAGTTTCTTCAGTTTTTTGTTTAATTGCAGGTTTTATAATCAATCTGTCTAATTAAAACAAATATATAACCAAAGACTGAAAATTTACATAACAGTCCATATTTACTTGTGTAAAATACAGATTGTTGGCTCTTTTGAAACAAAAACCAGCAAAGAATGGCTTTATTGTACCCAGTAATTACTGTTGGAAAGCTTTTGCTGAGTTAATTCACTTCTGATTGAGACACTTATGGCAAAATTCATTTTGTGTTTTTAATAGGAAAGTGTTGTCATAAGGTTGACCAGGGTCTTGTGTTTAGGTTAATGGATAATTATTTCTAAAATGAAACAAAACAACATGGCACAATGGCAAATGTAATGTTGTAAATCTACTTATCCTGATTTTAGGCATGTTCTCACTGTTGTATAATAAAACAATCATATTTTCAGAATACTATCAAAAGATTTTAATCCAGATGCGTATTCATAATTTCATATAACTTACAGTCGTATGTATTTTCCAGGTTGCAAAGAGTAATGGATATATCACAAATGTTTATGAAAGATCTGGAAGATTATTCATTCATTTTGCGTGACATCAACCTCCTCCATAATGGAGTTTGTGGACAAACTACTCCACAGCGAATAGAGACTTGATATTTCAGGAAGGAAATTAATTAAATTTTCAGCTTGTTTACAAACATCGAGAAAGAACACTGTAAATCTCTGCAAATTTGTCAGCACAAAAACAATCTGTTCTCACATTATGAAACTGAATAATATCATGAAAAAGTTGTTTAATTTCCTGTAAGCTAGAGCGTCTGACCTGTTGTCGGTCTCCCTAGATATTGATGTGACTCCTGTGTTTTGGCTTTCTCCATTTTCATTGATAAATGAAGTATTCTGAACACATGGAAATAAAAATAACTTTAATTTAGCAGAAATTGAAATGTGTTGCTTTTATGACTGAAACTCTACCAAAGTCATGGATATCATTGGATGCATGTTAATACCTTCCTTGTTGGTCATGGTTACACATATTTTAGCTATTTCAAATAAGATATTTTGTTTTTTTGGATATGGATAAAATTAAAAGCCTATAATTTTTTTACTTTTTTTAAATGGTTTAATTTTGAGACATGATATTGTCTTCTGCCTGTACGTAAGAGGCTATCAAAACTGAATCTTCATGAATAATTTTGCAGCCACTGGTATCATTTTTGTGAGACACGGCTGTTCTGGAATTAACAGACGGAAAAAATGGCTATCATATCATCTTGTTTCCGTGTTTTACTAGGTTCTATATCATTATCCAGCTTCCTCGTGTCTGGGTTCTTTATGTTTGTCTCATAGAACTGCATGCACCTATCTGGTTTTTATCCGTGAAACAAGTAAACATGTACACTGATTGCATCTAATGACTGGATGTTTTTGTACAGAAAAATAGGTATTATGTGGAATAGATAAGCATCAAGGAATACTGAAGCAGAAACTTTACAATGTTCTGAATTTCTTTTTATTTCATTAAAAAGACTGAATCAATAATCCACTTGTTGGGTTCCGTGTTATTTTGGACAGTCTTTTACTTTTGTCAGACACAAGTCAGAGTGAAATTCTGTTCGTTCTAGTGAATTCAGCTAGTAATTGTGTAATAATATCAATTTCTAAAGAAAATAATCCTTACAGTCAAGGTTTGGCAAGCAGGCTAAACGAGTTTGGCACAGACAGTTGACTTACAATGTGCATCAGTAACATCCCCAAAACCTCTTGGTGTGTACTGCTTCTTTCATTTGGCACCCGTGAAGGTCCGGGTTAGAATTGGCCTTCAGTAACCCATGCTTGTCATAAGAGGCGACTTACAGAATCGGGTGGTCAGGCTCGCTGACTTGGTTGACACATGTCTTCGCTTCCCAATTGTGCAGATCGATGCTCATGCTGTTGATCACTGGATTGTCTGGTCGAGACTCGATTATTTACAGACTGCCACCATATAGCTGGAATATTGCTGAGTGCAGCGTAAAACTAAACTCACTCACTCACTCATTCATTTGGCCATAGACTGATTCTGGTGTTTGAGGTTTGGACAAGACTGGTTACCTCACAGAATTTTGGCTCAGTTTTTAAGTGTAATCATATATAAGTATAGCCAGAGTTATAGATAACTTTTTGGGTCATTGAGTTATGTACTCACTTGTGTTTATCATAATTGGGTATCCTAATTTTCCTTTGAGTAACCAAATATATTGTACCCACCTCACTCAAACGTAATTGGGTATTTGGCCATTTTCCATTAATTGTAAAAATATATTAAAGTTTAAATGTTGGTTTATGTGTTTGTTATTTATATTTCATCTGTTATATGAGAAACGATAAGAAAGACTGCAAGTTGCCAAGTCCAGGTGCTGAATAGAAACCCTCAATATACCTCAGTTATTTTATCTATTTTTGTTTGTACGCATGTAACATAAAATCTATTGAGTATTTACAAAAATTGAAGCGTACTTGTACGCAATAGACTTAATAGGAATTGAGTTTTCACATAAATATTTGCGTAATTTACGCAGATACGAGCTTATCTGTACCTCTGTATAGCTACAAAAGAGTCCTGTGTTTCTACAAAATATTGTGATCCATGAGAGAAAAATTACTAGGCTTCTTATGTCTTAAACCTTGTAGATGTATGAATTTTCACAAACAAAGATGCAACAAAGATATGCAACCTGTCTATCTCCCTCATGTTATGAATGATTCGCACAACATTCAGAAGTCTGATAATTGAACCAGGCCATTATTCCCCTTATGATATGATGACGTTAATCCACAAAGACAAGCTGACCCCATAACTGCCACAATTAAAATGATCAGTAACCCTTTCAGTTGGGATGTTTACCAAGAACCAATAGGAAGTTATCCCCAGAGTGACCTTTGACGCTTAAGGGTCAGAGTTTACAGTGATAACAGCTACAGCTGACACTCTTCTGACTAATGAAGATTCTGTTGTATAATTAACAGCTTTTCCTCGTTAGCTGTAATTGCCTTTGTTCTAAGGTCGGCCACGTAGATCATTGCATTGTGGAAATAATGGCATAATTAACCCAACTGAAGATATCATCCTACACTGCCATGCAGTATTAGCCTCTGAAGATGATTCTTATCCTCAATATATGTGTCTGTCGCCATGCTGGAAGAACTACTGGATCTTGTTAGTAAGCATCCCTTGCTCTCCGTACTCTTGATAGCTGGATCATTGCAGGACACGATGGCGTTTATCATTTTGCACTCTGAAGAGTAGCCTTGTTAGATCAATTAGTAGACACGTACAGTGTAACACCATTGTGTAAAAGTTAAAGGCACCCACACAAATACTTCCAGTTAGGCCCAATTAAAAAAGTGTTGGGGTTCCAATTACACCTCTTTAAAATTTAGGGTAGGTAGGTAGGAATTCCTTCTTTTTACATCTTTTTTTTTTCAGAAGTAAAGTATGAACTAATAACACTTTAAAATTGTTTATTCAATCAAGCTGACTTTCTCTATCAGAATGACCGATGTCCGTTAGTGCCGGGAAAAAACTATAGTATCTGAAATCTTATTTTGTTCATACGTCTAAATAAAACTAGGGTCGGCACCAGAATTCAAGGGTTGGTCGGGTAATCGGAACCACAACATTTTTTTTTTAGGCCTTTTCAAGAAATGCATATGAACGGACCAAACTTTTACTTGAGACAGCTGCAAGTTTGTTATATCAATGTTCAACACAACACTGTTTGACTGTAGTTCTTGTGGATTTGATGATGATGATAATGATGATGATCAGGTGACGATGATGCCTGCTTGATCCGTGAATTCTCCCCGCTATGATATTGCTGGATTATTGCTAAAAGCAACGTAAAACTAAACTAACTCCCTAACTTTCTCTCACTCCCTCAACTGTTGCGTGAAAGTGTTTAAACTGGACATTGTCAAGATTCTCTGAAATCTTGGGGTGTCCTTGGCATATGTTATTTGGAATTAAAACCCAGGCCAGATTTGAAAAGAATGTCATGAGTTTCATTTCTGTTTGGATCTAGGTGAGCAGAACCTCAGTGTGACCCGGGGTGGTTGGGTAGCCAAGTGGTTAAAGTGTTCTCTCGTCACGCCAAAGACCCGGGTTCGATTCCCCACATGGGTATAATGTGTGAAGCCCATTTGTGGTGTTCACCACCATGATATTGCTAGAATATTGCTAAAATCGGCCTAAAACCACACTCACTCACAGTGTGACCCTGTTTTAAAAGTGCTTACTTTCTTATTGGTTTAAGCATTCCTGGTGTCCCCAGCCGTGATGTTGCTGGAATATTGCTAAAAGTGGCGTAAAACCAAACTCAGTCAGTCAGTCAGTATTGGTTTTAGTTTCATACTCTCTGCCTGGCTATCATTTTATTCCCTGTGACCCACGAGTCTCTCTAAGTATCCCTGCTATTGTAATGGTGTCCCAAGACATGCCTCATTGCAATGTAATCTCTCAAATTGCTCTGGATATGCGTGAAAATTGTTAATCAATACCCCCACATCCTGCTCTAATCACATAAAGTATCGTTTATTGTCCAGGTCAGATGCGGACTTCCAGGTGCTGTCTTGCCAGACTGATTTATGTAACAAGGCAGAGCAATCAGCTTAATTGAGCATGTGTTTTATTTACAACGGTATAACAATCTAGTCATTTCCCATTTGTAACACGAACAAGGTTCTCATCCTTCAATGTGTAATGAAACCTAATCCTGTGTGTGATGGGGGCGGTGGAGTAGTCTAATGGTTACAGTGTTTACTCGTTGGGTTTGATTCCTAACATAAGTACAATGTGAAGCCCATTTCTGGTGTCCCCTGCCATGATATTGCTGGAATATTGCTAACAGTAGGGTAAAACCTCACTCACTCACTCACTCACTCACTCACTCACTCACTCACTCACTCACTCACTCACTCACTCACTCACTCACTCACTCACTCACTCACTCACTCACTCACTCACTCACTCACTCACTCACACACACTTGGCCAGGTCACATGTTGCTATTTTCATACAATGGGTAGCCTTGTGGTTAAGGCGTTTGCTAGTCATGAAAGCTTAGGTTTTATTCCCAGAGATATGCAATGTGTCCCATTTTTGGTGTACCTATCGTGGTATTGCTGTGAGTTTTTCTAGAAGTTGTGTGAAAATCTTCTCACTCATTCTCATCTGACATGGGTTCATGGGGTAGTGTTATCCCTGTCATCCTGAAGGTACGTGTTTGGTTCCCATGTTAAGCCCTAAATTCTTGGTGTCCTTTGCATTGATATGGCTCAAAAGTTTGACAATATTCATTTAAGTTTGTCTCGCTTCTCAGCACTCACCACTTTCTCTCTCAGCTAAGGCGTGTGTGCGAGTGCGTGCGTGCGTGCATGCGTGCGTGCATGTCATTAGGAGTCTGTGGTGCGAGGAAACAACCTTACATTACCTTGGTTTGTTTTTATATGTGGTGATATCATGTTTTTGGTGGCAACCTACAGAAATGTGTATATAAGATTGTAATGAAATAAAAACTTTATGCTTCTAAGTTTTTTTGTAATGTCGGTTTGAACAAGCAAATGTGTCTTTACATGATATTGTCTCACAAAAATTTAAGTAAGTATTTATATAAAAAAATGAATTGTTGAATTAACCAGTTTGAAATGAATAGTGGACGTGTATGTTCCATAAGGTATCCTTGTCATTATGCTTTGGCTGATGGTGAGTTACACTGCCTTAGCCCTACAACTGAAAGGTGTTAAAAATATTGAATTCCTAAACATAAATAAATTTCAAAGTGGCATCTTTGACAAATGAAATCTGGTCTTAGACACACATCAGTCTGCAACAGGCTCATCAAGTCAGTGCCACAGGAATGACAGGCACCTCATTACCGGGTTCCAATCTCAAGGTGTAGTGCATCATCTGGAGATGGTTGAGGTGATTCCTCCCCCTGTCCAGATAAAGGTCTATGCTTGGAATCCCATCATGCCGTATCAAAGATACCAAGGAGTGTATCACTCTTACTCCCAACTCTGGTCATTACAACTACACTGGCTTTTCCAAATTTAACTGATATTCTTTACTTCAAACAGAAAGGGAGATAAGATTTTGTCTATGTCGGCTTTGGGTGTTTTCTGGTTAATGGAGTCAAGGTGTCCGCAGAGTTATCTCACTTGTGCATTTTAATGGATGAAATCGAATCAGTGTCCTTACACTGAATTTGTCAAACGATTCCTTAAACATAAACAAGGGTAGAAAAATAGAGCAAATCACCTGAAGAATGTTCAGTCATAAAGGGCACCTGCTGTAACATTGTCATCAACTTGAGTCGTGGAGACCAAGTCATTAAGCTGCAACAATAAACTGTGCAGAGTTACATCCCTTGGGCAAGTCTGAAAACTAAGATTGGTTTAAATCTAGTTTGCGGTGATTAGGTTTCATGAGTTATAGCTCAGTTATATATGTCTTTGACTTCCATCACTTACAATGCTTTCTACCCATGAAGATCCGGGTTAGAATTGATCTTCAGTAACCCATGCTTGTCGTAAGAGGTGACTAACAGGATCGGGTGTTCAGACTCGCTGATTTGGTTGACACATGTCATCGTATCCCAACTGCGTAGATCGACGCTCATGCTGTTGATCACTGGATTGTCTGGTCGAGACTCGATTATTTTCAGACGGCCACCATATAGCTGGAATATTGCTGAGGGCAGCGTAAAAGTAAACTCACTCACTCCCTCAATTTTTTCTCTTTCACAAGGCTGACATATAACTGCCATATAATTGGTAGCCTGTTCAATGTGTAATTAAACCCCACTCTCTCACTCTCTCACTACCATGATTACATACACAAACAGTACCAACCACAAAATATCTTCAATTGCTTTTATGGCATAATATACAAACTTCTAGTGCAGAAATGCCCAACAATTCATAAGAATTGGTTTGGATCTGTACATTTGTTCTGTTTTGCTGGGAGCTACAAATGTTTATAATCCTCTTGTTGAGAGTTCCGTAAAGGCCCCTGCTGTTTTATGCACCATGGTTCATTTGAGTCTTTCACTGCAACCCTGATACATAGACACTTTGCACACTGAACACACAAAGGCACTAATTTTCTCACACTTGCTGTGACTGCTCAGATGTAACGTAACGGCACAAGTTCAAAATGATCAAATTGTATTCCCCTCACAACTGTGACTTTACTTTTTTCTAATCTCATAATTGGATAAAGCTGTATACATTCCCCATCATATGAATGAGCGCACAGTTATATTTTTTTTTGCATTATTCCCTTTTACAAATAAAGTAAAAAATTCAAAACCGACAAGGAAATAAATGCTGATTTTATCACTACATGCAGCTGTGAACATGACCTTTGTGTCCATGACCTTCACGACCTTGACCTTTATGATTCAGCACTTGGCTCAGGTCATGTCACATTGTCCCGATGTGGTGATTGATTGTCTGCCGGCCCAAGGGGAGATGGAGATAATCATCACTTGATGCACACATCCTTTCATGCTCATTACTCACCTCAACAGATTGTACCGTGAATACACAATACTGTGAAGGAATACTTAACTAATTTCCAGTAATTATCGCTGAGCTTTGTGTCTGAGGCATTCAGAAGAGCTACTGCCATAATAGAAACTGCTTTTCATTGTAGACCCAGATGTGGCAACATCTTTATCAAAATTGTTATAAGGTTCAACTAACTTTAGAAAATATATTACATCTGTTGTATATATTAGACAATTTGTATTTGAATTTGTAGTAATATTTCTATGATACAAAATAGTTTAATTTTTCTTGTGAGTCATCTTTCTTTTCAAAGATTTAAATGAATGATCATAAATTGAAGGTTAGTTCTTTCTTTTCAAGCTTTTTCTGAGAATATTGACTCTTGTTTAACCTTGTTATTTCAAAAAGTAGAAAAAGTAAAATTCATAACAATTTTAAGTTGTTTTTACATAGTTTCTTTGTTAGTGTCCTGTGCAACAGAAGAAAATTGACTGTTGATTAGGACTCTCTGTTAATACCTGAAGTGGTTTTCTGTTGTCTGAGTATTCCTGTCTTTGAAAAGTCAGCGTTTGAAATGGTTTTCTGTTGTGTGACTATTCCCATCTATGAATATAAGGATACCAGAAGCAAATTTAATAACGTCATTCATTGAGACACGATTACAAGGTATGGTGTGTAAATATTTTACCTGAGATGAATGACCTGCCTGACAAACAGGCTGAAAAATAATCAGGACATATGAAATGGTTAAGTTATCAGTACCTGAAAACTGCTTGACATTATCTGTTTTTCCTTAAATGTTTGGTTTCAGATATAGGTGGTGTTTGATCATTTACGTGTTATGTACCCATGCCACGTTTACGAATGGGATCTATTAGTCAGGATCACTGATGATTGTGTCAGTCAGTGGATTGTCTGGTCCGGACTTGATAATATACAGGCTACTTTCATGTAGCTGGAATATTACTGTGTGTGGCATAAAACAGTGTTATAAACAAAAGCAAACCCAACAGAAACAACGGGAAACTGTCTTATATACGAAACATGATGACAAGGGACACTTGCTTCTCATTATTCATTCAAAGAGATGAAACTCATCATCACCATTTTTATCCCCTGCAATGCGTTTTGCGGGGGGTATTAAAATGGACTCCGTCCGTCCGTCCGTGCACATTTGTCGTTTCCGGAGCAGAACTCTAAAACCGTTCAATATTTCTTTACCAAACTTGGCACATACATAGATCTGGTGGTGTACTGGTGCCTTTTGGTAATTTTGGAATTCTGAATAAAATATTTTTGGCGTTTCCATGGCAACAAGTTCGACTTAGACTGAAATTGTTGATAGTGCTCCTTTCTGGAGCAGAACTTTAAAAAACCTTTCAATACTCTCCTTCCACTTTTCTATATACACACCTAAATATTTGACATAATCATAACTCGTAGACATAATCATGAAGAGTATTTTGCCATTGCGGGGGATATTGATGACTTTGTCTTCTTGTTATGCTTTAATGATCTTTTGAGTCCATGTCTATCCTTGGGGAAATGGTGCAACAAACAAACTCAGAACTATTATGATGCATTGTGGTCATGTTTTTATGGAGTTGGTCAATAGATAAATGTCATATATATTTCAAATGAAACTACAAGATTTTGTGAATATTTCTATGAAACATCAAATTACAAACAGATTGAATGTCAGAAAACATGTGAGGAATTTAAAACCAGTTCAGGCATAAACATCATATTATGAACAGGGCTCCAGATAAGAGCCGTATCGGCGTATGTTCAGATAAAAAATATGCACGATACGGTAGGATATAATTTAGAAAACGTAGCAGATACGCACCACAGCAATGGTGTACGGTCTTAGAATCATTTACAGACGTATTTATCTGAAAAAAGTATTGTTCTATTGTTTATTGACCTGTTTACACAAGAGTAGCAATGTTGTGGTGCATATATGAAACGAAACACAAGATAACTGATAGTCCATTAGCTTCCATTCAGTACTCTAAATGTACACTTAAGGTTTTCCAGTACTCAATAGAGAACAAATAAGGAGTACGTACTCCTGATGTTGAAAAATTATCTGGAGCCCTGATGAAGATGTCACAAGTGAGTGAAATGACCAAGTGAGTGGAATGACCTAATGAACTGTCATTTTGTTTTGCAGGATATCATTCGATTGGTGGTCGGTCGCCTTGCGGCAGGAGAACGTTATTTCGCCAAATGCTTCGCGGTGAAGCTGGTTCACACCCAGAGCCGGGAGAACTACTGGCTTCACAACGACCTGACAATGTACCAGGTGCGGCAGAAGTATGAGTCCAGACACTTACCAGAAGAGTGGAGGTTTGTACGATCTATGTTACCCAATACCAATGTACTCCCTACATCCCTGTGGCCCCGACAGCCTACACCACTACAAAACAACATCTCTCCAACATCTGTCCGTAGGCCATTCCAATAAGTCATCCTAGCCCTATGACTAACTCCCATGTTTGAACACACCTACATGGTCATGGGGGTGCAACCATTTTGTTGATTGAGGACCAAGTCTTCAGCTATCTTAGTTTTAAGGTTGTTGTAACTGGTTTACTGACTTACTGCCTGAGTTTGGTTTTACGCCGCTTTTAGCAATATTCCAGCAACATCACGGCGGGGGACACCAGAAATGGGCTTCACACATTGTACCAATGTGGGGATTCGAACCCGGATCTTCGGCGTGACGAGCCAACGCTTTAACCACTAGGCTACCCCACCGCCCCTGTAACTGGTTTACAAATTGTGTAGTTTAGAAACTTGTGTCATTATATTTCTTTCCCCTTTGTGAGTCAGTTCGGGATAAAGCGTTTGCTCATCGTGCCCGGGTTTGATTCCCCTCATGGGTACAACGTGTGAAGCCCATTTCTGGTGTCCCTCATTGTGATATTGCTGGGATATTGCTGAAAATGACGTAAAACCATACTCACTCACTCAACCAGTTCAGGTTGTATATACTTGGCATTATGGGACTGTGGTATCCTGGTGGTGAAGGTGCTCTCTCTTCACGCTGCAGACCTGGGTGTGATCCCCCACAGTGTGTGAAACACAGTTATGATGTCGTTCTACTGACTGACTGAGTGAGTGAATATGATTTTACGCCGCTTTTAGCAATGTTCCATCAATTTCACGGTGGGGGACGCCAGGAATGGGCTTCACACATCGTACCCCAGGGGTTGAAATAACTTTAAATTGCTAGTGTACTCCGGTACAGTGGCACATGTAAAATCACTTGCCCTGATCATTTTTCCACTATATCGGCCGTTTTCTTGTTAATATTTTAAATAAACAACATTATTAACATTTGGAAAGTCAACTGGACACCAGTACAGCATGATATACAAATTTGCTTGCCCGTCGTTGGGCAATGGGTTATTTTCACCCCTGTACCCATATGGGCCATCTACTGATATATACTGATTGAATAAAGCTGAAACTGCCATAAAACCATATTCCTTCACTCAGCCTTAGGTATCTTGTTGGATTGGTTTCTGAGCAAGGGTTGTCAATACAAATTCAGGCTTTTAATCTGAGATGGGCAGATTAGTTCCATGAATAATTGAAGCCCTGCTTTCATTATTGTAGTATCTTCTGCAACGATGAAGTAACAGAATATTTATGAGCTAATTAAAAATATCCCATGGCTTGCCTTGAAACTTTCAGCAGTAATAATCTTTAAACAGATATATATTTCCCAGTAGTTATTCCCTACTCTCCATAATGTAATCTTCATAGGACAAAGGTCTTTCAGTGTGAGCAGGGCGGTGGGGTATAGTGGTTAAAGCGCGTTATTCGTCATCGCTGAAAACCCGGTTCGATTCCCCACATGGGCACAATGAGTTAAGCCCATTTCTGGTGTCCCCTGCCGTGATATTGCTGGAATATTGCTAAAAGCGACATAAAACTAAACTCAGTCAGTCAGTCAGTCAGTGTGAGAAAAACTGACTGAACCAACCTATTGTTCTAAAGACATCGCTTGGCATTGCCACAATGTACTCTTATGTTATTCTTGACTGTGTAATCAACATACTCCACATGTTCAGAAAGAAAAACCAGCAACATTGGGTCTCTGTTTCATTTTGACAGAAATAGCCCAGTGTGAATTCCATGTTAGAATAGTTTCCTGCGACCAATGTTACATATAGAGTTGATTCACGTCGTCATACCCCATTTGCGTAGATTGATGCTCATGCTGTTGATCACTGGATTGTCTGATCCAGACTCGATTAGTTACACTGACTGACTGACTGAGTTTGGTTTTACGCCGCTTTTAGCAATATTCCAGCAATATCATGGCAGGGGACACCAGAAATGGGCTTCACTCATTGTACCCATGTTGGGATTCGAACCCGGGTCTTCGGCGTGACGAGCCAATGCTTTAACCACTAGACTACCCCACCGCCCCCGACTATTTACAGGCCGCCGCCATATATCTGGAATATTGTGGTGTTGAACAGCTTGTCATAAGACGCAAAACAAATTCAGGCTGACTCATTTGGCTGATTGCGTGCCACTGCCCTTAAATTCTGGTCTAGACTCGATTATTTACAGACCGCCGCCATATAGCTGGAATATTGCTGAGTGCAGCGTAAAACTAAACTCACTCACTCACTCACTAAATTCTATGGATCGTTGCTCATGGTTCTAATCACAGGTTTGTCTGGTCCAGACTTGATTATTTTAAGGCAGCAACAGTCGATCACGCATTCATGACCAGGTTGTAGATTTCACATTTGTCACTTTCCATCCAGAACCGAATACAGATCCTTGGTATCTCAACCTGACCATTTAATGTGAACCAAGCTGCACATGGTTACAAAATTCATCATTATTATAGGTTATATCTGTCCCCATTGAAAACTCCATGGAGACAGGCATGATTCATGCTATTAGGGAAACATTTCACGGATTCATAACAACAAAATTGTTCCTGCAGAAAGCGGACGTAACAGACATGTTGTGTGTAAATGCATTTTTGATTAGTGCAAATCTCAAGCTCACATGAAAAGCTCATTCTCTCCCTGTGTCTTAATAGCAATTCGATGATAATTAACCATCAAGATCGTTCCTTCAGAATTGCCATTAAGATAAATTTGTTTTTTACTTCTCCCAAGTGAATGGATCTTGAAATATGAATTTTTCATGAAAACAGTACTTGGGACTGAGTATGATATGTGATATGAAAACTCAAACCGAAATAGCTTGATACATAATCGTATTTGTGGCAAAGATAAACACACAAGTTGTGTTTCATTAGATTTTGTAGTAAAATTGACATGATTCAGTTTATTCTTGAAAATCTGGAACAATATAATTAATTGTTAGTATTAAACTAGATACCTCCCTTTTGGCACATGCATCAATAAAGTTTATTTTGATATATCTATTCTATATCATGGGTGTAGAAACAGGTTTTATCACGTTGGTCACGATTCAAACAATGGGAGTTTGTTTTATGTAAAAGGTCCTTCAATTAGGGATGTTATAAGCATTAAAATCTTTCATGAAAATGCAAGATTTTGTTAGTTCAAATAATTCCCTCTGTGTAACAAGTCACATGTACATATTAACATGTTGGAGACTAATATACCTTAAGATTACTTACTGTTTTGTTCAATTAGAAAGAAAATAAGACTGAAATCTGATATCTGGTGAGTTTCTTTTTTGGTTACATTGCAAAACAGTGGACATTGTGAATTGTGGTGACAATGGTGTAGCTTTATGGTTAAAGCTTTCATTTTTCACTCTGAAAACCAAGGTTTCTATTCGTTGTAGGAGCATAAAGCAAAAACCAATGTTTGGTTTTCTTTCATTTGATGGGGCGGTGGGGTAGCCCAGTGGTTAAAGTGTCTGTCTGTCACTCCGAGGATCTTGGTTCGATTCCCCACATGGGTACAATGTGTGAAACCCATTCCTGGTGTCCCCTGCCGGAATATTGCTGGAATAATGCTAAAAGCGGCGTAAAACTAAACTCACTCACTTTTTATTTGATATTGGTGGAATATGCTAAATGCTGCATAAAATCATATTTACATACTCCTATATTAAGTACCAGTGAGAATTCCAGGTCAGAATGGGTCTCCTTCAATGTTCATTGATGACATGATGATTTGGTTGATAGCATGTCCTTGTACTCTGACAGTGTGGATTATTGTTAGCAACATCTATCACAGGATTATCTTGTCCAAACTCAATGACTTAGATTGATAAGGGGGCAGTGGGGTAGCCTAGTGGTTAATGTGTTCGCTCATCACGCCGAAGACCCAGGTTTGATTCCCCACATGGGTACAATGTGTAAAGCCCATTTCTGGTGTCCCCCCGCCAAAACCGTACTTGCTCACTGGATCGAACAGTGATATATCTGGAATATTAAGATGTTGGCAACAGAACAAGCAACACTTTTTTGTGAGGTACAGTTCGCTCTTCATGCCCCTCTTCCAGGAATGTGTGCAACAGTGGCATATAAACATCCAGCATTCGTTTCTGCCAACACCCCCCTCCCCGCACCCCCCACCCCCGTCTCACTGCTTTTGAAGGTGTCTCTCCTGATTTCTCTACGAACATAACAACATGTGCCAGATCAATGCTCATGCTCTTCTAGAAATGTATATTGTGTGTTTTCGCAAACTTATATACACATTTTATGAAACTACATCAGCAAGTCCGAAACATGAATCACCTGGGGAATGGCTGCATGGGTGTCATCATCTTGCTGCTCTGTTAGATGTACAGGCAGTTGGCCAACGATAGCAAACTCCTCCTTCTCAGATACAAATCAGGAGTCTATCATATGGCTGTTGCAGGTGCTGTTGTATCAGGGTATCCCGCGTATATGGGGCAATTTGGGTGTATTATCTGACTGTTGCAGGTGCTGTTGTGTCAGGATAGCCCATCTATATAGGGCAATTTGGGTGTATTATCTGACTGTTGCAGGTGCTGTTGTGTCAGGATAGCCCATCTATATAGGGCAATTTGGGTGTATTATCTGGCTGTTGTACATGCTGTTGTGTCAGGATAGCCCATGTATATGGGGCAATTTGGGTGTATTATCTGGCTGTTGCAGGTGCTGTTGTGTCAGGGTACCCCTTGTAATAAGGGCAGTATGGTGATATTTGGCTGCTGTAGGTGCTGTTGTGTCAGGGTATCCCATGTATATGGGGCAATTTGGGTGTATTATTTGGCTGTTGTACATGCTGTTGTGTCAGGGTATCCCATGTATATGGGGCAATTTGGGTGTATTATGTGGCTGTTGCACATGCTGTTGTGTCAGGATAGCCCATGTATATGGGGCAATTTGGGTGTATTATTTGGCTGTTGCAGGTGCTGTTGTGTCAGGGTAGCCCATGTATATGGGGCAATTTGGGTGTATTATTTGGCTGTTGCAGGTGCTGTTGTGTCAGGGTAGCCCATGTATATGGGGCAATTTGGGTGTATTATGTGGCTGTTGTACATGCTGTTGTGTCAGGGTAGCCCATGTATATGGGGCAATTTGGGTGTATTATGTGGCTGTTGCACATGCTGTTGTGTCAGGGTAGCCCTTGTGTATGGGGCAATATGGTTATGACATATGGCTGTTACAGTTGCTGCTATGTCAGGGTACCTCTTGCATATGTGGCGATATGAGTATATCATCTGGCTGTTATAGGTTATAGGTCATTGTACCTTTTATGTAGAGGGTGATATGACATGTATCATAAGGCTTTGTTCATGGTCTTGTGTTAGGGTATCCCTTCAATAACTCTTACAAGAATAAGGTGTAGGTAGTTGGCAGAAATAGGTTTTTATCACATGGCTATCGTATACGCTCATGTATATGCTCACCTAGGATTGGTAGACTTGAGACATAGATGGGAGGGACAGTGCCAATGGCTACTGCACTGATCCCTGTGTCATGGTACTTTCGAGACAGAGTAGGATGGGCAGAGTGATTGGAGTGTTTTGGATGGACCTTTAAGATGAGTAAACTTGATGAATGAGGGAGATTGGAATGAAGAAGACATGTATAGGAGAGAAAGGTTGGTGCATTGCACACTAAGAGTAGGTACAGATCAATTCACATTCAAGAGGGGCAGCAGACAGTGTTTGTGTTTGGGAGGAGTTGCTGTGTCCAGGTGGGAGAGCAACACCATTGTAGTGGAGGAAGGTTCTGGAGGAGGAGGGGCAGGGTCATTGGAGGAGGACAGGTGTGGGAGGTAGATACGCGAGGAATGGGGGACCAGGTGGCTCGAGGAAGTAGATGGAGGGTAAGCATGGAGCATGCAGGCCTCAATTGGTGGAGAATATATGAACCAGAAGCAGCCCACTACGTCTACTTTGTCTGGTCTTTTGCTGTTGTTGTCCAATTATTGAGTGACCTTTTGTCCTTCCCCATGCCGGAACCACAGTTATTGGAGACATGTTGCCTTCCATGGTGAACATGCTCCGTTTCAACATCTGGTAAAGCTGTGACCTTCACAACACAAAATATTAACAAGCTGACACAAACTTCATCATTGTTCAGTGATCTGATGTCATCTGGCATCTGTCTCACAGATCAATCTTGCTTCTGATATGTGATTATAATACTGATTGAAATCCTTTCCTTTAACAGGCTTTGTGTGGTGTCCCAAGTACGCATAAACATTGTTCGTTGTTAGATCCAAATGAAACTGGCACTGCAATTGGCCATGCTGGGTTGCATTCTAAGGCTGCTTGATAAACATGTGGTTGTGGGTTCGAATCCAGGTTTGTCAGTCACCATACACATGCTTGTGGAATTCACCAAAAATGACCTGGATCACTTGGGGCTTTCTTCCTTTTTTAAACTGACATGCAGGGGAAACTGGAATACTGTACAAAGTGGCACGCACTCACTCACTCACTCACTCACTCACTCACTCACTCACTCACTCACTCACTCACTCACTCACTCACTCACTCACTCACTCACACTCACTCACTCACTCACTCACTCACTCACTCACTCACTCACTCACTCACTCACTCACTCACTCACTCACTCACTCTGATAGCACAAAAACAAGTGCAATTCTTACTTACGTTGTCAAACACTGGCTTTTTGGGCCAGACTCACTATTTACAGGGTGCCATTATTAAGCTGGGATATTATTAAATATTATAATAACATACAATTGCATTCATTCCATATTTGTACATGATGTACTTCAAGCAATCTTTGCACATCGTTTTTTCAATTCACACCTCCATGTACCTCTTACTCCTGCATCCCCCTCTGTGATATTGCTGGAATATTGCTAAAAGTGGCATGAAACTAAACTCATGTGTGCACGCTCACTCACTCACTCACTCACTCACTCACTCACTCACTCACTCACTCACTCACTCACTCACTCACTCACTCACTCACTCACTCACTCACTCACTCACTCACTCACTCACTCACTCACTCACCCACCCACCCACCCACCCACCCACCCACCCACCCACCCACCCACTCCACTCACTCACTCACTCACTCACTCATCACTTAGAGCTTCCTTACCATGTTAAAGCTGGCATTCAATAATACACCCGGAATATTGTTCAAAGCAGCATTAAACTCAACTCACCCACTCACTCAAACACTGTTTTGACCTACGTGTCACAGCTTTGGATGGTTCAGCCATAACTACCACCAGTATAGATGCTACCCTGTGTACCAGGCAGGGCTCTGTGCACCCAAACAATACTGCGTTAAATGTCAATCAGGAAGAGCCAATAATAAACACGAGACCATTTAGGCCATTTAGCCTAGGTGGTCTGGAGCCAAGGTTAATGCTGACAAGCAGGACTGAGTGGGTCTAGTTTAACTTTCTAGAATCCAGTAATGAAAGGAACAGTGTAGGTTTCCGATGTAAGCTGTGACAAAAGGAAATCCTTGTAATAGAAAATGGCTTTGTGTTTGCTTTTGGGGCAAGTTTAGAGGTTATCGGAAGTAGGTTCAATATTCAGGCTTTCCAAGTGCACTATTGTTATTTGATTTGGTGGGTAATGTTTTTTTTACCTCCGAATTTGGCTTTTTGTTGCTTTTTAGATCATTCTGAAAATATATATCCGCTATATTGTTTTTCGCCACATTTCTTTCATCAAACATTGTTTTGGGGGTTTGTTTAAAATTGTTTGTTTTTTATGTGCAATTATCAACATATAACTTCTTTATGAGATCCATCAGTATTGTTATCTGACACATTTTCCTGCATCAGTGTAATTGGACTACCTGTAGTCTAGCCAAACTGGCAACATCAGGCAGATTGTGTTGGAATCAAAGGAAGTGCATTTTGTTTTGATAACAGTTCATCTCATTTGTTATGAAATAAAGAATATTCACCAAGAGATATGTACAAGAAGTAATTTGAAGTTTATTATTGTCAATGAAGTGTTGACAATTTTGGTTGAGTCAGGTTGAGTAACCAAATCATACATTCTGCTGCTATTTACTTTGCAGAGTTAAGAGTTGTTTCCCTTTGTAATACCAGGATCTGCTAATATCACTTTTATTTTGATGCATGTTCTGTCAGTGCCATGCCTGTGCTCATGGGTTTAACAAACTGGTTGAGGTCTAGGACAGGGGTCGAAATAACCCATTGCCCGATGCCCGAGTCCAGTGTTTTTTTCTGTCGGGCAGGCATATTTGTCTATCACACTGTATCGGTGTCCAGTTGACTTTCCAATGTTAATTATGTTGTTTATTTAAAAAAATCAACAAGAAAATCGGCCAGTATAGTGGGAAAATTATCAGGGCAAGTGATTTTACTTGTGCCACTGTACCGGAGTACACTAGCAATTTTAAAGTTATTTCCAGCCCTGCTAGGACCGACAGGGGCATTTGGGTAGCCTTTTGGTTAAAGTGTCTGCTCGTCATGCTGAAGACCCGGGTTTGATTTCCCATATAACTACAGTGTGTGAAGCCCATTTCTAGTGTCCCCCCACGTAATGCTGGGATATTGCTAAAAGCATCGTAAAACCATACTCACTGTAGGACCGACATAACTTTGAACTTTTCTTCTCCATATTATGCTTACTTGTCATGATATATATTGTTCATAGTGATGTGAAAACCAAACACACTTACTCACTAAATCTGTAGAGATTCTGGGTATGTAGGTCCCAGCAAGATATGGTTGTTGAAAGAGGCTACTCTCTGGTTGCTGGTTAGACTTGGTGACTATGTCAGTGACGTCTCATCTTGTCCCTGTTATGTAGATTGATGCTTATGATATGTACCCCTGGATCCCGATCCACAAAATGTTCGTAGCGCTACGACATTTGTAAGCCTATGATAAACTATACAGTTATGACAGGTCAATCAATCTTTATTCAGAACTGAAGGCCACAGGCCCATAGTACAGGTATATACAAAGTTCAAAAGCAGAGTGGGTTTCTCTTATCGCATGGTATATGAACAAAGCAATATTTTCAATCAATATACGATTAGAAGTTGACAACAGTTGGATGAATTTATGTTTTGACGGTTGTTTCGTAAAGTAACTGGGTATATATTTGCTTCTAATGTTTCTATAATAATCACAAATTAGCAGAACATGGTATTCATCTTCCAAGACATTCATTTTACAGTATCTGCACACAGTAGATTTCTTATGAAATTTTCCCTTATAACAACTTAAATCATAATAAACGGAACGAAACTGTGATAAGGCTAGTCTTACTTTCTTGATATTGCTACAACGTACATATGGTTCACACAAGAAGTCTTCTTTTAACAGGGAATAAGTAAACGTACAGGTCATAACGCTACGAACGCTCTGTGGATCAGGACCCTGGACTGTCCAGACTTATAATTTACATTCTGACATCAGCTGATATATCTTTGAGTATGGGTGAGACAACAAATAAACAATTTACTGATCATTTGTAGAAGCATGACCAGGATAGTCCTTGACAGTCCTACCAACATGCTTCCAGTGAAAGATAAATAACTACGAATCAGAAGCATAAGTAAAGATCTGTTATTCTGATAATCTCTACTCACTGTGTTGTTATTTTTCAGATATGAACTCCGAGTGCGGTACTTACCCAAAAATATCCCTGAGCTGTATTCCAAAGACAAAGTGACATTCTACTACCTCTATGATCAGGTATGTATCAGGGGGCGGTGGGGTAGTCTAGTGGTTAAAGCGTTGGCTCGTCACACCGAAGACCCGGGTTCGAATCCCCACATGGGTACAATGAGTGAAGCCCATTTCTGGTGTCCCCCGCCATGATATTGCTGGAATATTGCTAAAAGCGGCGTAAAACCAAACTCAGTCAGTCAGGTATGTATCAGGGGCAGGTTTCACAGACGTGGTACCCATGAAGATCCGGGTTAGAATTGGTCTTCAGCAACCAATGTTTGTCGTAAGAGGCGAAAAATGGGATCGGTGGTCAGGCTCGCCGACTTGGTTGACACATGTCATCATATCCCAATTGTGTAGGTCAGTGCTCATGCTGTTGATGACTGGATTGTCTGGTCCAAACTCAGATTATTTACAGATGGACGCCATATAGCTGGAATATTGCTGAGTGCAACTTAAAACTAAACTCACTCACTGGAATATTGCTGAGTGCGGCATTAAACAACAAACCAACCAACCAATCAGGTGTGGAAGTTAAACAGGTATCCTTAGTGCAAAGTTGGAGATGGCATTGTCTGTCATTCACATCTTGAAGCAAATATATCTGATACAGCTCATGCAAGTGTGTAATGTTTATTTAGTCTTGATTACTTGAACTACTGTTAATTTACTTTAAGTGTGGTCATGGACCAATGGTAATGCATTGATTATAAGGTAACACTGCAGTAATTGGCATAAATCGGATCTTCTTTATCAGCACTAATATTTTTTCTTTTTTCGATGTGTCTAATGTAAAACCAGTGAAAAACATGAGAATATATTATCGCCCTAAGCAATACTTCTCTATCCAATTTATAGGATCTTGATTTGTCTGGTCCACACCTTATTTACAGGTAACTGTCATATATTGATGAAATATTGATTGTATGTTCAGAAACAACAATCGAAACAAGCTAAGAACTCTGAGGACTGGTGAAATAATGTTTGTGCTTGTTTCAATTTCTGTGAAAAGAGTTATCTCCCTTAATTGCTTCTTCCATACTTTCTAGGTTACACACCACCAAATGTTTTCAAATAGACTTCTATAGTAACCTTATATATTTTTTTTTTAAATATCCAGGCTATCAACAGCCATTCCATGTACACATGGGTACACTCTGGCCTTTAAACTACCATAAAAATAAAATATCAGGCCAACTTGTTCGGCTCGTTTTGCGAGCACAGGAAGCGGAACACATCAACCCCAGTTCTGTACCAAATGTCACTTACTGGAAAATATCTGTACACACAATAAGCATAAGTGATGGTGATAAAAATGACAGCACTAAATACTTAAAATTGTGGTCAGTTTTAATTACTGGTTGGATGTGCTTTTAAAAAACATAAACATCTTACACTATTTATCCAATCACAGCTGTCACATGTCTCTGTCTCTCTTCACTTGTTTACATACGGCTCTCGCTCAGGGAGCATGTGATACTGATTTAGTGTAGTGGAACCTCTCGCAGAGAGACATATTAGACTTAACATCATGTTGAATAAAACAGGGAAATAACCAGTGCTGAAGATACTATTGCAATATTGTTGTAATAGTAGTACAACTTGTTTTAACCATCATTTATCTGCACATATTTTATGATGCAGTAATCATCAAGGATAAGCAGTTTGTATGTGCAAGTGATGCATTCAGTTAGTGCAACATGTCGCTGAATATCTTAACCTCAGCTTCTCAGATTGCCAGACTGATATGATCACTTGCAGCAATGTTGATGGCAATGAACACTCAACCAAAGAAAATAAATCCTGGAAAATGACTGGGATAAAATTCCTTCATTTCTTCAACCTGTGTAAAGCACCTGCTATTAAGTCTTCGCTTGATCGGAGGACGTAGTGGAAGGAGGAAATTAATGAGGAGCACACTGACCTGACAGCAATAAATGAGAGGGTGGGGGGGTGGGGGAGGAGGGGAGAGCTTTGTGGTGTTGATTACTGAAGACAAAGACGATACTGTGGGGATATGTGGAGAGATTAATGAATGATGCCTTGTCATGAAATGTGAAATCAATACTTTGGTTTGTTAGCACTGTTTCATTTTTGAAATTACTTCTGGAAGATTATAATTTGTGGAGGTATGTTCCTTGCGGGAGAATATGTTCAGTGAAGGTGCTGAAAAAAGTAAGTCCTAAAAATAGTCTTAAAAAATGTGATTCTGTCCTGTGTAACACCAACAATTATGAGACCTTGGAGAGAGAGGTGTTAGTTCAAGCATTCGCTTGTCACACTGAAGACCCTGATTTGATGTGTAAAGCCCAGCTCTGGTCTCCCCTGCTGGGATATAGCTGGAATATTGCTGAAAGCAGCATAAAACTGAAACCCTCACTCACTTTGGAGACTAAAGGATAGAATCATTTGTTAGAATTATATTTCTTGAACAAGTTCCCACATAAAATAGCCTATTACAGTAAGTTAAAATGTGAGCTTATTGCAGAATGATAGCACAGAAAAGTAAATGGAGACTTCTAGGATATTTTAATAACAAGATTTTGGAGATTAACTGATCATCAAACAACCAGCTTTCTTAAACAATCACACATACTTAACATTTTAATAGGTTAGACAAGCAGTGAAAACATTCCCTTGTCAAGGCCCAGATTCAAATCCCCACATCTATACTATGTGAAAAGCCTGTTTCTGATGTCCCAGCCAAGCAATAGTTGAAATATTTCTCAGTATTCGAAAACCCGATCTCACTTCGGTTAAAAAAATTGGTAACGTCAAATTCCTATCAGATATTTTTGGCATACTTGTCTGAAATCTCTGAGAAATGAACAGGGATTAGTGATATCTCTTTGTCAATCCACAGTTACGTGAAACTAAGCTTGTGTTGTCAAGTCAATTAGGAAGCTCCAACCTTCAGTAGCTTAAGTCTGATGGGGGAGACGGTGTCAGGAGGTTTGCATGTCTGCAAGGGGAAGTAAAATCATGGCCTCCTCTTTGCATTGCATGCACATTAAATATCGTGATGAAATTCAATGCTGGATCAAAGAGTTTGACATAAAAATGAAGTTAAAGATTTTCATTCATCTGATTTTGTATTCTATCCTGTGTACTGACGTAGAAAATGTTGACTGTCAGATTTGACATTTCATTGATTTCTTGTAATCTGATAGAAAAGATATCAGAGATAATCCTTTGTTAAGAACTTGAAAGATTTTAATTGGTAATGCTCTTTGTTACATGAAATATGTTTTTTTTATCTTTTGCTGTTCAGTGTTAAAAACGACGGTTCATTTGCAGTCAAACCTATATGTCCGAAAGGAATCGTTAACAAAATCACATGATACACTCATGTTTGATTGAGATGTTGCTTATCTGTTCAGAAACAGGCAGATACTTAGACCCTCTTGTTGTAGTGGACAAATATCTAGTCTCTGAAATAATAAAATTTCACAGACACACAAAAAAAAAAACAGTTGAAAAATATTGGTAGAGTATAATTATGAGGAGCTGAGAGACTTTCTTCATTCACACTAAATCTGCAGTAATCTATACTTGCTAGGGCTGTAATGATGCATCAAACTATCAGTGGATTGCAATTGTTGAGTCTCCAATAGCAATATAATAGAAGGTAGAACACATATCGATAGTATGTGTGTCTATCGATAGTTTAGTAACTGACTTGCGTTGATAAATGCACAGCAGGAAGCACCAGATTCCTTCACTTTGATTTAGGGTTCACTGAGTTTATGTTTTAACTGTTTACTTGATCTGGGTTTCAGTTTGTTTGTTAGTTATTAAAAGAAAAGTTATTAAAGAGACTGAAACTACTTGTACTTGGGAAATGACTTTCAAATGAGACAATTCAAGGAGAAAAAAACTGTTGTAATAGTTGGTCGCAATAGACTATCGCTTTTGCAATAGTATGTTGCAATAGACTATCACACTAGTTGTTTTCCCCTCAATAGTCACCCCTAATACTTGCCAACTATTATGGATTTACATGGGCTGTGTAGGATGAATTTGTTTAAAGCTGTGTCTGGCACTTGTCCAACTCACTGAAACCACCCAATGTTTGTCAATGTTTTTTAGCAAAAAACTGGTTTTGGTAGAAATCTCGATATCTAAACACATTTCCTGGTTTCTATGGTCACAAAATTACTATGTACAGCCCACGGTAAATTTAATCATGACACACAAAGGGATTGTTGTTGAATAAACTTTCTGTACTTTGTGAACGAAATACCAATCCTTCAAGTGCAAAACTGGTTGTACCAGAAGCACTCATAAAATCTCCATCCTCATCACGAAGCCATCCCTGGACTGACACAGATTGCTGTATTTAGTGTATATTTACAGCTGAATCATATTGAAAAAGAGTTATTATGAAGCATCAGTTATTTTTGTTCTTGTTTGACAGAGTGGTGTAGCTGTACCCTAATATAACATTGGGATGATATGACTGGGGAAAGTAAACTTTAAGATGCATTCCCCAGATACTTTTGACAATGTCTTTTGAAAGGTCATTTATTGAAGATCAAACCTGTATGTGTTGTGTGCTGCTCAAAAGAAGTGGAACAAGTTGATTCTTTTATAATGCTTTAATTAATCTGTCATGACAGATCAACTTTGATATTATGAAAAAAACAGGTGTTCCTTCGATTCCTCACATGGGTATAAAGTGTAAAGCCCATTTTTGATGTCCCCCACTGTGATATTGTTGGAATATTGCTATATGTAGCGTAAAACTAAACTCACTCACTCACTCAAAAGCAATTTGGCAATTCTATGGTAATTACTATGACTTGTGGTTTTTTTTCAGGTTCGGAATGACTACATGCGTGATATAGCCGAACAAATTGCACATGAAGTTGCCATCAGGCTTGGCTGTATAGAAATGAGGTATGCTCAGATGCATATTTGCATGAAATGTTTGCTGTAACTGTTAATTTGTGATTTTATATTCACATGAAAGCAATATTCATAACATGTTGGGAGTGTTTCTTGTGAGGTTCCCTTCTTGTTCATTTTATATTTTCACAAAGAATCAGTAATTGGTCAACTGAGCCATAACTGGAATGGTTTAATTTGTTAAATGGACAGAATGTGTTTTTGTGTGGCCATATCTTTGTCATTATCAACCAATAAACTGAATATTTTTTCTCTTTTCAGGCGGTTTTTCAAAGACATGCCTCAAGTAGCTTTAGATAAAAAGTCTAACTTTGAATACTTAGAGAAAGAAGTTGGGCTTAAAAGATTCTTACCTCGAACTGTGATGGATTCAATGAAAGTGAGTTGGTTTTTTTTGTAATTTGTCAAATTACTAAAATGCTTTCCTGAAGACTTGTTAAGCATATGTTGTTTATTTGTTTATTAAATTTTTAAAAATATTCCTCACCTGGAAGGATTGTGACTTCAAAGGTTTCTTCCCCAAAGTTTGATGTTAAAGAATCAAACAGATGTTGCACATCAAAGAGGATTTCAAATGAGTTTCCTGATTTTTCCCCCACAGATATGTGTGAAAATGCTTTATTTATAATAAAAAAAATGATGAAAATAGATTGTATATGGTATGGAATGTGTTTACGGAGGGAAAAATATTATTGGTGTAATAGTTTTAGTCCTAAATCCATGACTTGTCATTTTCAAGTTTCAATGATAATTCAAATGGTTTGACATTAATGATATGGAACTTAGTTCTTAAAAATAGCCAGTCAGTCGGGTGGTACTGTATATCCTGCCAACATGACACCAGATAGCTATGTAACACTCTCTTCCCGTAAATATAATGACAATTTACTCCAGCAGAGGCTTGAAATATTGAGTACATATGGCAGCTCTCTAGCAGATCATTTTGCCAGCAGGTGAAAAAGATATAGTTTAGTAACCCTAATTGAGAGTGTTTTCAAGGTAGTTTTTTGATATATTGCATTAGGGTTTGTATGAGTGTGATGCCCATTTCTGCTGTCCCCCGCAGTGATATTGCTGGAATATTGCTAAAACGGCGTAAAACCATACTCACTCATGTAAAACTAGTTTATGCAGCATAACTTTTATTGTTTTAAGCTTTTTAGACTGTTTTCAAGAATCGATACTACTAAAAACTCACTCACTCACTCACTCAGTAGGGTTTGTATAATACACCTATCAGTTTGAAAATTACTGAAATATCAATTAATATCTTTAAATCAATGAATTTTTATTGACAACTTTAAACAACATATGAGTAACTGACAGTAGATTAGCCCAGTGGTTTATGGGTTTGCCTGTGATGCCCTGTGTATGGTTTGATTCCTGAAATGGGTGCAAGATTGGAATCCCTTCAGTGTGTGGCTATGATAATCTTCCAAGAGGGTAAGCAAAAGGGAAAAGTGTTCTCCTGTATTAAAAACTGATTTTTATTTGTCTACAGCCGAAGGCCTTGCGCAAACTTATACAGCATCACTTCCGCCAGTATGCGCAGCTCACGGAATCGGAGTGTGTATATAAGTTCTTCGATACTCTCATCACCGTCATTAAGTTCAATCAGGAAAGATTCAAGTGCGCCTTAGGGGTATGTATGAGCTTGAGTTTATGATAGTATCATCCCCACATGGGCACAATGTGTTAAGCCCATTTCTGGTGTCCCCCGCCGTGATATTGCTGGAATATTGCTAAAAGCGGCGTAAAACTAAACTCAGTCAGTCAGTATGATAGTATCATACTTCTATAGAGTAATACAGTCATCCCTTGCAATAATGCTCTCCGCGATACCGCGGATTTGGTTAAACTGCGGGGTAATCCATGGCTCCCATAGAAAAGTCGCCAAGTGATCACGCAACTTCATGTCATCGAACATAGCATATCAACAAATCCGCTGTTGAGCTCAGGTTAACCACGTTGTAAGCTAGCCAAGTTCAATACGGATTACAATGAACGCTGTTCATCGTACATATAGCGAAAACGTTTCAGGGGAGTATCTTTATATGTCTGATATATTGATACACTTCAGTAAAATTTAAGAACTTCAGGGCTTTTTAAACTGTTATGGAGTGTTGATATGATATATATTCTTTAGTGAGATTCAATATATCATCCAAACTCATTTTTCAGTTTGCAACAATAATAACCAATATCTTGTGTACAATTTAGCTGTACAGCTGACCAACTTCAGATTTTTCTAGCATTTCGAGCATTTTCTAGCAAGTGCCCCAGACAAGAAAATTGAGAAAAACATATTTTTTGTTTCAAAAGTTCCGATTTCCTAAATTCATAGCTTTTGTAAAAATGTGTATAATGATGATTATAATGAAACATTGATGCACTTTCCTATTGATAATGAGATTGGTGAAACTCCAGTCAATTCTACAATGCCATAACATTAGTTATAACTACAGCAACATATATTCATAAATATTCACCCCCAATTTTATGAACTGGCTGCTGGGTCAGTGATACAATGGTACATATTGAGATACTTGAGTCACACTGATACGTATCATGATACTGAATTTCAGCCCTTCTCCCATAATATGCTGTGAAACATCTGTATAAATTAGTTGAAAAGGGAAGTTTGAATTTCGAGTATTTTTAAGTTCCCTCAAAACTGTTGAACATTAGTGATGGAAATTTGCTAAGGGCCATGTAAGACGATTTATGTTAATTTGAAATAGCACTTTCTTCACAAGATCATGTGGTGAACATTTGGATACCATGTTACCTTCGAACGTCAGTCATTAGAGTTCGAGATGTTTCATGCACGTGGAATCTGTGATTCATACACCTCCAATCTCCTGTAGGTATATACAGATCCAACATGGCCGCAGATCACAGTCATGGGAAGGATTTAATCAGGAATGATATTATAAACCCACTGATTCAGTATTGTCCATCTGTAGCATGGTTTATGTTTCCAGCAAATATGATTAACTGATGAAAGATATTCTAATAATAATCTGTGCTTGTTAACAGAAAGTGGTAACGTGATACGTTTCAGAGTATTCTCTTTGTGAAACATTTCCAAACAGTTCCACAGTTCTCTGTAAACAATTCTCACGTAAATCTCACTTTGTAGAAAGTCTTTCACTTGTTTCATAATATTGCTTTGATTTGCTAACATAAATATTAATTGCCTATCCAATGTGTGTTTATGCTTTCAGTCTGGGTGGAGTATCTATGTTGATATTGTCATTGGCCCTGATGTCGGAATCAGTTATCTCACAGAAAAAGCCTCCTCCGTAAGTATTTTACCTACCTAGAGCCAGATTATGTCAGTATGAACTAGGCTAGTTTACATTGGAGAATGGTCAGGGATGATCAACCCAGAGCAATTGAGAATTATGGTTGATGGAGTTATCTCCCTTTAACAGATAATGGCCGTGAAATGTTTGCAACTGAAGTGTGTGCAGATACCGTCATATCTATCTTGATAGGAGAAATGTGTTTGTGTATGATGTTCTAGTTTTAAACTTCCTGGTCTTTACAGATGGTTGTATTTGTTAAAACGTTATATAATGTACACAGATGGTGCTGTGTTAACGACAAGACCGAGGAAACTGCCCCCTCTGTATCAAACACGGCTTTCCTGACCTGTCTCCTGTTTGGGCCTTGAAAATAGTGCAAGCTGCTTTACTGAAAATGAAATGTTTGAAACTTTGCAATTGCTGTTTGTTGCTTGATTAGTTAGATTATGATATCATTATTTCAGTAGGACATTTGAACAGTGATCTAAAAATTGTTGATGATGAGATGCAACAAAGATTACTGTCATCCCAGGAATATGTTTGGTTTCATGTTTGTTGTGAATTTTGAAATACAGTATAATGGTGCAGTTAGGTTTTAGCTGCCGTTTGTTTATGTATGATATGTAGGATTGAAATACATGCACACACATACCATGCCTGATCAGGCACCACACCACCCCACCCCACACCACACCACACCACACCACACCACACCACACCACACCACCACACCACACCACACCACACCACACCACACCACACCACACCACACCACCCCACACCACACCACACCACCCCACCCCACGCCACGCCACGCCACGCCACGCCACGCCACCCCACACCACACCACCACACGCCACGCCACGCCACGCCACACCACCCCACCACCACACCACACCACACCACACCACACCACCCCACACCACACCACCCCACACCACACCACACCACCCCACACCACACCACCCCACGCCACGCCACGCCACGCCACACCACACCACACCACACCACACCACACCACACCACACCACACCACACCACACCACACCCACACAACACACCACATCACACCACACCACACCACGACCTGACACACCACACCACATCATACCATGCCACGCTTACCTCACACCATGCCACATAATACCATGCCACACCATGCCACATAACACCATGCCACACCACATGAAACACACCACACCACGCCACACCACATGAAACACCACACCATGCCACACCACACCATGCCACGCCACACCACACCCACACCACACCACACCACACCACACCACACCACACCACACCACACCCACACCACACCACACCACACCACACCACACCACGCCCACACGACACACCACATCACACCACACCACACCACACCACACCACACCACACCACACCACACCCACACCACACCACACCCACATGACACACCACATCACACCACACCACGACCTGACACACCTCACCACATCATACCATGCCACGCTTACCTCACACCATGCCACATAATACCATGCCACACCATGCCACATAACACCATGCCACACCACATGAAACACACCACACCACGCCACACCACATGAAACACCACACCATGCCACACCACACCATGCCACGCCACACCATTCCATGCCACAACCCTCACTCAACTCTCCACACCGCCACCTTGCCTGATCAGGCACCACACCACACCACACCACACCACACCACAATACTCACTCAACTTGCCTTGCCACGCCACACTATTCCATGCCACAACCCTCACTCAACACACTTCACCATGCCAAGCCATGCCACACCACAGTGGCCCCACCACGCCCCACATCTATGACTGCTATTTACCTGTTATGATGTGTTATTTCAGCCTACCCACATGGCTGACTTTGCCCAGGTCCAGTCCATACAGACAGTGGGCAGTGAAGATGGCAAAGGTATTCTGCAACTGAAGATAGCTGGTGCTAATGAGCCTCTCATGATCACGTGTGCGATGTTGCAAGATGCTGAAGATGTAGCAGACCTGATTGATGGCTACTGTCGCCTTGTACATGACATGAACGACTCACTATGGACCAGGAAAGGTAAGCTACATTCACATATTATAGCAAATTAAATTTTTACATGAATATACTATTTCATTATTGGGATTTTCTGTATTTTTTTTTAAGTAAAGAGCATGTCTGATTTGGCAGACATAATTTATTTTGGCAATGCAGTACATTCAGTTCTTTTCCAGAATGTTGGCTTAAATTCCATATTACATTATTCCCACATTAAATTTGTTTGGACATTTTGTCCAGATTACTCAATACATAGCACTCAAAAGAAACTAAAGACCTCACGATCTTTTGGTTATTTGACTACAGTTAAACTATCATGTGAAAGAAGTTCACATTTTTTTTATGTGACTGTAATCAATCTGTCATGTCAACCGATTATATGAAAATCAGATTTTCTTAATTGATTTATAGTAGTTTATATTTGCCATTCACTCTTAAGAACAACAGGTACTGACTCCAAGTTGAATGCACTTTTTCCTCTGTATACTTTCGCTAACACTGACACTATATACGAATGTGCATTATAATCATGTTAGTCTTGTGTATATGGTTTTCTGTACATGACTTGCCTCTAAGAGTGTACCTCTATCTATATATCCATATCGTCCAAACTGACCCTTTCAACTGTGAATAATAAATGAATCTTTCATTAATTGTTTTTACCATGATAAGATCACATTGATAGGTACATGTTTCGCATACTAACAAGCAAACGTACATACAAACAGGGACCGCCTCCGTGGTGTAGTGGTTAGAGCGTCCGCCCGGAGAGCGGAAGGTCGCGGGTTCGATCCCCGACCACGTCAAACCCAAAGACGTTAAAATATGGTACTTGTTGTCCCTGCCTGATGCTCTGCATTAATGGGTACAACAAGGACTGGTCGGCTCGGAGTCAGTATAATGTGTCTGAGTGGGGTATTCATGCTTCACTGCGGCATGGTATCTCAGTGGGCTAGCACTATAAAACCAACTTCAGTCTGGGCTAGTACAAGCAGCTGCGCATACACATACACACGCATGCACGTCGTCATATGAGCGAAATATTCTCAAGCACGACGTGAAACCCAATTTCACTTCACCTCACATACAAACAGTAAGCACCCACTTACCACTCATGATGAAAATAAGTCAATGTTATTACCATAGAACAATAGCTCAGTACCATCATTTTTTGCTGAAGCTCAGACAAGATATATTGAAGCAGTTATAACTGTTCTATTTTGGTTTCAAACCCTTCATATGTATTTGACGTATTGTTTTTGCTTTGCGATATCCATGTTTTATTCATCTTATTCTGTTTGCAAAAGAATTGCAAAAGAAATTATTTTTTTCAACAGCTTCATATGTGTATGATTTATAATTTGTTTATGAAAAACTATCCCTTTGAAAAGATTCTTTAACACAAGCCAAAAGTTATTGTAAATCCCAAAAGAAGACTGTTGTAAAACCGAATCACTTCGTGAACAATGTGCATGGCATTCATCTTCAAAAAAGAGTCCCATTCATGCATATTTCTGACACGGATTTATTTTGTTCCCGACTCAAAGCTACTGAAGATCTACCTTCATTTACTAAAATAGCCTACCTCAGTTGGAACTCGTACGATTCAGATGACGAAGGGGAGGCAACATGTAGTGAAGGTAATTGGAGTTAACTCCCCTTGGCACGGATCCCTTTTGATTTTGAGTTCTGGAACTTGACCAAGCACCCCTGAAACTCTTGAAACATCGCGTTTCACCTTTTTCTCACATCTTGTTCATCAGCCATGTTTCTATGTTTTTGCACTTTATTTGCATGTTAACATTATTGTAGTAAGTTAACGAACAGTACTGCTTTATGTTCTCGTCCTGTTTTGAGTTTTTGGAATGGTTAGAGAAACATTTATCTGTAATTGTTTGACGGTTCAATATTTTTTGTTTTGAATTTTAAAATTGCAAGCCTAAGATTTGAGTGGTTTGAATGTAAGGACAGCAAGTGAGTAGGATCAGTGGAAAAACGTCAGGTGAAATTATGGAAAAATATGACACATGTTTGGGGTCAACATATTCATATCAAGTTGCAATGTCTGCTAGATGATAAGTCACTATTTATTGAACAGACTAATTGATTTTCTTATTTATGATTCTGCTTCACTGAAAAAATCAAAATGTCATGATAAAGCTGAAATATTGCTGAAAGTGGTATGAAACTCCACTCACTCACTCACTAATGCATAGAGCCTACATGTAATGATATTTTCCTGTGCATTTCGAAAATGTTTTTTTAATAAAATATGAATTCTTAGACATTTGATTCAGAAAGTCATCAAATATATTATGTTAATAGTTGATAAAAAAGTGTGAATAATTGCCTTAATTGTTTTCGTAGAATATCTAAAATGAAATCAGAGCCAGAGAAATCTCTTCTATACAAGATTGATCCTATCAGTTATAGATGTGGGTCAAAACAGGCACTGACGTTGATGGATTAATCAAGATGCTCATGAATACCAAGGAAATCACCATGTCATTATGCTATTTTCCCTACTACTGTTTCCATTTTGTCTGTGATGTGTCTGAATGCCATCTGTAAACTGCACCTAGAAATAACACGTAATTACTTGCATAATTACTGTTTTCTGTACACCATCTCTTTCACTGACATCGAGACATCTATGCATGCAGCATTCCAGTTCTGTGTTTCTGTTTCTCCTGTTGTTGTAATAACAAGACAAGTGTCACTTTCTTCAGAAATGTTTTTGTTGGTAGCTTGAGGTTAGAATAACTATCTTTAGTTAATTGTTTGAAGTGACTGATGATGCATTTTAAGTTAGTGAAATTTCTTAATGTACACTGGTGAGTATTATAGGCCGCTGTTACGTTCCTTGTGGGCATCCTGGGTTTGAATTGGATCCGACCAACCTGTACTGGTCGTAAGAGGCCACTTATGGATCATTGTACCCTGACTGTGGCGATGGTTTCTCACAGTGTCCATCGCAGGATTGTCTTTCCTCATTTAGGGGTGATTGGATAGCCTAGTGGTTAAAGCATTGCTGCTGAAGACCCGGGTTCGATTTCCCACATGGGCACAATGTGTGAAGCCCATTTCTGGTCTCCCCCGCTGTGATATTGCTGGAACATTGCTGAATGCGGCGTAAAAACTAAACTCACTCACTCACTTTCCCCATTTGTTTGTTTACATGTATGCCATAGCTGAAATATTGCTGAATTCTGTGTTCAACAAATAAATTTTGCACTTGTCCTCTTGATGAATATAGAAAAAGAAAGATTTCCAACGGCTGTAAACAGAGTCTCGAATGACTTAGAAATAGTCAACATGTTGGACTTGATTATTCAAAGACCATTGTATCTTGTTGAATATTGCTGTATGTAGTGTAAACAACAAACATGGTCCTTAAAGCAATCAGTGGTAATGGTGTAGTTGATTCAATACATTTGTTTTTATTCATTGATTAGAAGATTTGATAGAGCCATTAGACATTGGGTTACCACACCTAATAGGTGCCTTGGGATCTACTGTAACTTTGCGTTATTTGCATCAGGAAACCAAACAAGCAAATCACATACTTGCAGTATAATTCTGTGGAACAATGCCAACGTGAAGCACAGTTAATCCCATATTGTTATTTACTTCACTGTAGTCTTTCATTGGATCATAGATTGAGGTAAAACTGCTGAATAATAACAGAATTTCACCAGTGTCTTCTGAAATCAAATATATCAACACTGATTTGAAAAAAAGTTTGAAACCTCAAGGTTTGTCAACAGTGAGTTTAAACAGTTATAGTTGATGTCAAAACACATAAGGATAATTTGTTCTATCATTTATAAATTATTCTCAGAACTGTATCTGTGAGTAATCAGCTGTGTCTTGCAAGTGAATAGTATGTAGAGCTATCCATCTTCTGTAGCAGCGAGTAAGTGATGTCATTTGGTTGTGATGTCATGGTGATGTCATAATGACCTGTAAGCTATATCACCACTGGCAACCAGTTTTGGATGACAAATTTACAATGACAAGAGTTTGATGATGAACCAAACACTCAATTTACACTTCATTCATAATGGGGACACTTATAAAGAAGGCACACTAAAGTTTGGCTTAAAAAATGGTTTGTTATGTGACAAAAACACAAGGAACTTAAATGCTTACAATGATTAAAATTTAAATGCCTCCTGCCTCACATTAATCGATTTAGTTTGACCTGGACATATAATTAATGTTTGTGGTCTTTGTATATATACTACTCAAAAGACCTTAGGGAACATGGCTCTTTCAGACTGCTATAGATAATCAGTATTGACGTGACAGATTATAATACCAGTCTGAAAGTCATTCTTAACTTTGTTTGGGTAGCATATGTTTAGTAATACACTCTTTCATCATGATGCTTTAATTTAAGTTATAATGACCTGCTTTCAGCAAACAAATTAACAAGGTTTTTGTAAATTTGATATCTTTATTAGTCGCTTGATAATAATCATGTTCATTCTGAACAAGTATGGTTTTTGGGACACTTGTTATGTTTTAACCAAAACAAAAGGGTTTCCAATAATTTGACATGCAAAGAGTGTTTGTCCAAGAACTGATAAATCTTTCAAGATTTCCACACACATTCTTCCTGTAGTTCTGTTCCTAAAATGAATTATTAACCCAGCGTTCCTAATTTTGTGTTTGCTTGCATTCCTGATCCAATTCCCTCCATTTTAGGTGACCAAAATCAATGGTAAAACAATGCCACATGGCAAAAACATTAGAAAATCAATTATTCCCATTATCCAAATCATTCGTCAAGATCAAGATCGCAGATAGGAACCGAGCACTCACTGCAGGCACTAAATTGCTAGTAATTTGACTGTCAGGGTGAGGTTCAACCTGTTCTAGTGGTATGTTGAAGTTGACCACTGGTTGGCTTGATCACTGTTGTGGTCAGATTATACTAACAATAGCTGGCCGTTGATGAGAAAGAATGGAATGATCGTTAACTGGGCAAATGGATTTTTGGATTAGCAACAGCTGAGGCAGGGATGGTGTTGGGAAGATTGATGAAAAATGTTTTCAGATATTTATCAATATTGTTCTTTTGTGGGGTTTTATGTGAATGAATAGCTAAGATAAATATAATAAAGGAAAGGAAAGTTTTGTGTTTTTTATTTAACGCAGTGTATTATGTTTAATAGTATGATACAAAATGTGATTTGTGAATTTCGAAATGCAAGTTTTATTAATTCTAATTTTTAATGTGATACAAAATAATGTTGATGTTCTGCAGTGAAAATATATCTGAACAAAATAATATTGTTGACAGTAAAATACAAATAATGGCAAAGCAATACATATTACAAATGAAAATCATTGTAACTCTATCTGTAAACAAAAATATACTTCTTAAAACAGAACCCAATTCTTTTATGTAACAAAGTTTAAAACTGTTTTTTCAGTTTTTATATCAATAATCTAGTAATAATGAGTTAACCTTCAATTTCTTCCGGCATCATCAGGATAGTGTTTTGTCATATTAACAGTATTTGTCATTTTGCATAAATATAAAAAACCCTCATTAAATAACAATCGTAATTCTGAGAGAGAGTCAAATGAGCTGAATATGAATATAGGGCAACAGAAAATCTCTAGGATCCCATAATGACACCTTTAAGGATTGAGTAATATATGATACTGCTCAAGAGAAGCTAAGGCCAACCCAATCCTCTAATATAACTGTAGTTAAGTCTGTAATATGAACAAAATCAGGTGGTTCTCAACTTCTCTTGTGTAGTATAACGACAGGTCTTCATTTATGGTTCAGATAGATCAGAACGTGCAAGTTTAAACCGACCAGAGACTTGTGTGTTATGTTTGTTAAACACAGTTTTCCAGTGTAGATTATTATTCCTCGGCATGAGTATTCAATATTCTGTATGTGACATTCACGCAATAGACCTTCAGGGTTCGCCCTGTGAAACGGTCTACAGATTATCGTCGCCCCCTGCTGGCAGTGGTATGATAATTTAATTTTCACAAAGATGTTGACATTTTGCGCAATTTGCATTTAGTAACAGCCAACTACGATAATATCCATTTCCAAATAGATATCCAAATGTTATTTTTATCAGGAATCTTTTTATAGCCGACTTGCATCAATCCCATCCCAGCCATTCTCGTTCATTCACATTATGATAAAATATTGATTTGACGACGAGAGGTCAGAGTTTATCTTAAAGAGCAGCCCTTGTGTTGACACTTTGCCAATATCGTCATGCTAGCGGACAGACTCATTAGGAACTGCATGTAATATCCATATTCTATACATCCCTGTTCAGAGACATCCTGAATCCAGTCATACTTAATTATTCCGAGTTTGCCCTGCCTCAGGACAAGCTGTGTTCAAATAACTGACCATCATATTGGCCCGGACCTGACCGATGGAATAACTGTAGTCGCGCCCGAGCGACCAAATTATTGATTTTTGTCGCTGCTTCAGTGGCAGGCTGTCCTTTGTTCCGTTTAGTCGGAGCTGTGCAATATTCCGTTAGCTGCTAGTCGACAGACAGTGTGTGTCTTTGTGTATCACATGGTCGTATATGGGGAGTCCCCACAACATGGATGTATGGACACTTCTGGCTAAATATCATCCTGATTTTCATATCTTTACAGGCGAGACCATTCCCAGGACACCGCGATCAAGGTATGTGGACTTTTTGTATTGCCAGATTTTAGCCTGCCATCATTTTATAGTTTGAAACTTTTGAAGTTTGATGATGATTCATCAACACCTCTGAAATGTCTGGCGTGATGCAACTTCTGTTACCATTGTTTTTTGCCATATATGGTAATAAATTGTATTTTTAACCAAAAATGTTTGAAAACGTCAAAGCAACTTTTCAAAATGTCAAGTATTTAAGTCAGTTAAGTCTGGCGATGTGAGTGCATGAACATATATTCATGCATTACTTACAGATATCAAGGAAAATAGCTTTCTGTGTGTTTACAACTAAATATATGTTGATATTGATTTTCATATTGATGCTGGGCATGCTTAGACTTGTGTTTTGTGAAGGGGGTACAAAAATGTTATTTGCAAATCTTTCACACATGGAATAACAATCAAGCACACATTGTTAAGTAATTCTGCACATTTGTACTTCACAACACCAAGTTAAACATGCAAGTAACACGTGAATCCTCGGGAGTCGGCTTGAAGTATACACATATTGATGTCTGTTATCAAATGTCAGGGCATATCAGGAAATGGAAATGAGAACGGATATTTACACATGTGCATGTATATTTCTGGAATTATCAATTCCGGGGAGAACTGCAGGATGTTTCTGTAAAATGTATGTGTATCCTGCACCAATAGGTTGTTTACCGTTTCTGACAACTGTTGGCACGCGGACGTGAAAGGTTGCGCAGCCACATGGTGGGAACTAACCGTCACTGCCCAGTCGGACGGCATGATAGTAGCAACAGTAATTTGATTAGCCGTGTTATTAGTAGTGGTGCCCAAAGCAAATGTAGTCCTGCTGATTGTGGTGGGGACCGGATTAGACTGATACTCGTGAATGCATGGAGTCATGCGTCCACTTGGGGGTTTATTTTAGGAACTAGATGGTCTTGAGGGATTTGACCATCCACTGACTAATGCTGGATGGGAATTATTGTAATTAATCTCCCAGCTGGGTTCAATTGTTACTTGGCATGCTATATCACTACCAGTAATGGAAGTGAGAATTGTTTCCTTCAACATGGAAATTGAAAATATGAATATGACAAAATTGGTACGAAATCTATTCCTGATTTTAATAAAAGCATATTTGTTTCAGGAAAATAAATAGAGATAAGTATCTTTCTCATGAAAGGGGAATTTTTATATTCCACGATGTAAAACTATAATTATGATGGGATATTTGTATTGAATCGTGACATCCTGTAGCAGTCCTAAGTAAAGATGCATGAACTTGCCAAGAATCAGGGTTGATGACATAGCAGTGTTTTAGCAGGACCGTTAGCACTATCTCCAGCATAGCCTTAAGTTAAAAATCAAATTTTTAAGGGTATCTCTTGTGTTACTTTATCAGCACACTACCCACACCCTGGGTCCTTTAATGCCTAAAACTGTGTATGTACATTATAAAAGCTAACATTTGACAAGAACAATTGTATGAATCTATATGTATGGTTGTTCCTGTGAGATGAGTGACCAGGTAGGGGTAGAGTGTACTTCCCTGTTTAGGTTGACCCAGTTTGGCTACTACCTCTGTGTTAACCTATATCTTGTGGTGGCAGGTGGGGGTAATTACAGGTGTGTGGGTAATGGGTAGGGGGTACCTATCACATGTTGTCCTGGGGGGCTGTGAGATGTATATACCACCCTGTGGTGTAAGTGGGGCAGTATTCTCCATGTCTCACTGAATTCACTTTGTTCATCTGCATGTATTTCAACAACCATATGTTATAGAAACTTTCTATTGATGGAGGATGTATTTTATAATGTCAGTGTTGTCTTGCTCTATTAAATGGCAATATGCTATTTCAGTAAGTGAATATGAAAATTTATAGTCGTTGAAATATATTGGTTTCTGTACTTCCTATAACACTAAATATGATTTTCAATAGAAACTCTAAACAATTTGAAAGTATAAGTAGACACAAAAGGATGGATGTTACTATACAGTATTAGTCGGTGCACCCAGTACTTGGTGACCGACTTCAGTGTTTGTTGAAGCGTTGTGAGTGTAACTCATTATGTAGGTGTGGAGAGAGCAGCTACTGGAACATGAACAATTAGCATCATCATCAGGGGCCGTTTCAAAACATTTAGATTGCATTATTTCCACAGTGAATGGAAGGTCAGAGTTTGGATCAGTCACTCCAGGGGTTGATATAGTGAGCATTGATTTCACCTGAGAGTGGTGATAATGTTTGTCTGCTGGGTAATAGCTGACACCTGCCCTTCGAATAGTCATCGAAATAATATCTATAACCATATACCATTGTGTCCACCTGATACATTTTTGGCATATTTTCCTGATATCTATTATAATTAAGTATTTTGATTATCTTTATTATAAAGCATTTTTTTTCAATTAAATTGTTTGTCCTAATTTTATGAAGAGTCCAAAATATGATCATTCAACTTTTGAAACCAGCCCTTAATTACTTGTGACGATACAGGTGTGTTATTGACGTGAAATGAACGATCAATACAGGTATACACTGCATAAATCAGATGCCGATCCTGTATGATTCATTGTACAGATCAGTATTGGTGCTGTCACGTTATTTGTTTATTTATGACTTAATCAATATACACTTCATCCCAGTTATACAAACAATACATTGGGATTGTGTTTGACCGATTAACGGTTATGGTTGTGTCATTGAGGGCAAGTGGTTCCGTGTGATGTCATGTGTTACAGAGTGCAGAGGATAAACGGCTGATTCAGCACTATTTGAGATCATTGATGCAAACGTATGTAATGTATGAGGGGTGGGTGTGTAAGTGGGTGGAGAGATGATAGATAACAAGGTATTGATGGGTGATTAGAACTTTTATGAGTAGGGAGTTAATGGAGCATACAGCTTTATGGAGGACAATTTCTTTTTTTTGTGTGCAGAGAGAGACGACATTTCGGTGTAGATTCGTACACCTTTATCAAGCTCAGTTGTCATCCGTAAAGTTGTAGACTTCATTATTGACTTACCAACTTCTATATACTGATCAAGCGATGTGTAGGTAGATGGCAAGATGGGGGGATAGATGACAGATCTCTGGGTTGGGCATCGATGGATATATAAACTTGGTGGAATAGATAGGTCTAGTAGAATAGTCATGTATGAATATATATGTGATGAGTATGAGGCAAGGTAGTCTGTCATACAGACCCTGAAGCAAACATATCCAAGAAATACCACGCAAGTCTAGAAAATGTGGCAAGTCTAGATTTCCACAGCTTGCGGCTGAAGTGCCTTAATTTGCTATGCAGCATTGAATCAATTGGGCAAAATGAAGAAAGTCTCAGGGCTCCTTTTCATTATATTTTCTTTTCTTTTACTGTAAACTTTTTTTTCTTTAAAATATGTTCATTTCAGAGACAGTTGTTAGTCTAGAGGTAAGGGGGCTTCATGTATAGACAGATCTCCAGGTTGGGCATTGATGGATATATAGACTTGGTGGAATAGACACCGAGGTGGAATAGACAGGTCCAGTAGAATAGATCCAGTCATGGATCAATACAACATTGATGAGGCAAGGTGGCTTCATGTATAGACAGATCTCTCGGATGGGTATTGATGGACAAAGGTGGGTGAATGGATGGTGAACCGTGGAATGAGTGAGACACAGATTTATTGACAAAATGGTGAATGATGTTGTTTGCGGACTGATGGACATGTATATATGCATAACTTAGTGGATTGAGTTTGTCATCAATGCTTGTACATGATAAATTGAATATGTACAGTTGTCCTGACAAAAAAACAAGCAAAATAGATTGAATTTATACCGATGTTAAATCAAGATATGCTGAAACTGTCTAGACAAACTACTTGTACATTGTTTTCAGTGATAGACTGATAGGGGTGGTGGTGTAGCCTAGTGGTTAATGCGTTCGCTCATCATGCCGAAGACTGGGTTTGGGTTCGATTCCCCACATGGGTACAATGTGTGAAGCCCATTTCTGGTGTCCCCCGCCGTGATATTGCTGGAATATTGCTAAAAGCGGCGTAAAACCATACTCACTCTTGTTAAACTAGCTTATGCAACATAACTTTTATTGTTTTAAGCTTTTTAGACTGTTTTCAAGAATCGATACTTCAAAAACAGGCTGGGTAGAGTCTAGGCAACTTGCCTTACATTGTTGTAGGTTTTTCAGACTGTAAAATTTGTTAATAAGGAAACATCTGTGACTGACTGACTTAATATGTTGATTACATGAGTTTGACAGCGAACAGAGGTAACGATTCACACGTTATTAAGTGGAGCTAATGGCAAAATGAGCTGGACCTGTGAACTACCCAACATGAAAAGGACTGCCATATTAGATCAGAATTACCCATGCAGTAATACTTAAACTACATTTGACACCTTGTGTTCTCGCATTCACAGCCAATATTGCTAGTGTAGATTCATTTACAAACCATCCAGCCCAGTACAAGTGAGATGTGGTAACATTTATAAAAACTCTCAGCCCATTATACAATCATCAAATCATGGGCACTGGATTCCACCATGGGTGGCATTGTTAGCCCAATAATCATTTCTACTTGTGACCTCTTCACTCCCTCTGAGTGAGAAGAGTCCTTGCCCCCAAAGAAAGAGTCCCTCCCAAGAGGTCGGAGTCCCTTGATGCAATCAGCTTCATTGTAACAGGTTATTTAGCTGCCTGTGAGTCATTCTTGATTAGGATGGAATTCAGTGAGAAGCCTGCGATTTGATTGATGTTGAAGACGACAACTTTCATTCATGGCCCAAATGAAGTAATCATTGAGATTTAGTATCAGGGGTGTGTTTTGGGACAATTTTGGTGATGAGTTTTTGGGGGGAGTTTGCAATATTTTACTGTCAGCTTGATATTTCTATTGACGAGGTGATCAATGGTTGAGACACTGATGGTAATGCAGAAACCTGTTTTTGCTTCAGTACTTTGTCATTAGATTAAATGTCATTTATAAAATATGTGCTGGAGTCAGTGTATGAATAGTTAATGATTTAGTGACATGGAGGAACATTAGTTTTGGGGAAAGTATTATTTGTAAGTGATTAACAGATTGACTTTGGACATGCATTATTACAAACATAAAGGAGGAGGACAACAGATGTCTTGTTAAATGATGGAAACTGTTCTGAGGATTCACCTACACCACATTTTGGCAGTTTGTTGCTGAAAATTGAACTATTGTAGTATTGATTAATTCATTATCAGTTTTATTTCCAAATAATGTTAGATTGAAGTTTGATAGTGTTATGATAGTATGTTTCCCTGAAACTAGTTTGTAATTTATATAGGCAGACATGATGTAAATAAAATGTGTGTTTTATACCCTACATGGGAGGTAAATGTTGTAAGTTCTCAGCCTCTTTGATGCAAGAACTGACGCAATAAGTCAATCCTTGGCCAACCCATAGGAATTAACCCTCCTGACTTTGTGGGTCAGGCTATGCTCTGTTACTTATTGAGGTTCTTCATAGTCCCTGGGGTAGCCTAATGGTTAAAGTGTTGGCTCGTCTCGCCAAAGACCCGGGTTCGAATCCCCACATGGGCACAATGTGTGAAGCCCATTTCTGGTGTCCCCCGCCGTGATGTTGCTGGAATATTGCTAAAAGCGGCGTAAAACCAAACTCAGTCAGTCAGTCAGTCATCATAGTCCCCCTCAACCAATACTGGTTGTATGAAGTGACTTAGTTGATTGGGTGGTCAGGCTCAATGCGTTAGTTGACGGCATACACACCTATTGAGTGATAATGGCCATAGTACCCATCTAGGGATCTTTGATCATTCATGGTACCCCGACAACATGGATCTTAGACCACAATATCAATCACTTGATTGTGTGGCCCGGACTTGACTATTACCAGGCTTCTGTCATACAGCCAGACTTGCTGGACGTGGTATAAACTACAAACACCCACACACTCATTTAGGAAGAGATATGATAAACTGCAGACATGGCGAACAAAAGAAGGGTTTTTGAAGTGTGAAGGGTTGAAATGAAACTGTCCTGATCAATTAATATTCCCCAGCAGTAACACCATAATTGAATTAATGCAGTCCTGCTTTCAAGAGCTGTAAATTGAAGTTTGAATTGAATTGAAGCGTTAACCTTTATAGAAACAAAAGCATGCTCTGTCGTGCATATCAGATCATTTCAACAAGACTTGATGAGATGGATCAGTTTTGATGTTTCCAAGTGTAAAATCCGGCAACGATATTCCGCTTGCCACTCTCCCATGACAGACTAACCAACGGAAAGGTGAAATGGGTGAATGGAAATAGAAGTTTTTTGCCAGGATGCTTACGTTATCATTTTTCAGTCAAATTATGACAATGAAGTGTTTTCCCTGGGATCCGCCAACACCGAGATAACAAGACTCCATGTTGGGAGAATAATGATGCGTAGTCACCTTTTGACAGAGACTACAAAGACTTGACGTGACTTGCTCCCGACAGAAATATGCATCATCATATGTTGTATATATCTCCTAATCACCTGTCTGTTTCATGATAAGCAGCAATCCAGCTGTCTAACTGAAATGCTAGAAGCGACAAAAATGTCAGGATTTTTTTGTCATTGAGTATGTTTGGATTTTTCCACTACACTCATCTTATATGGCTATAGGAGCGTTTCATTATCTTTGTGGTTGCAAAAAGTGGATTCGTTTTGGAAAGTGATATTGTTGAAATTGACGATGTGAGAACGAGAGATTACAATGTAAACATTGTGTCAAATGATTCAGCAGAAAGGCTGAACTCAGGGGAGAAATTATTTTTGCTCTTTTCTTTTCAATGCTTTGGAAATATTGATAGTATTTTTGTAGATATATTCAAGAGAAGACTAAAAGGTTTTTTTAAAGTGTAAAACATAAATGCATTGAATTTATGACTTCTTCTTTGACACATCGTAAATTGTAATGTGATGAAAGATTTATGCTCCGACTTCCCATGTTGAAAGTTGTAAAGTAGATACAGCTAGCATGAAGGATGCATGAATTCATGCTCTCGTTTCCCCAATATCAGGTTGAGTTAGTAGATGTATTTTAAAGATGTAGAGAGGAACATTTTATGTGTGGTTACATCCTTTACTACAACACATCTGTGATGACTTCATATTCAGTTTTGTCTAGTCTTGTCACAGCTTGCTTTAAACTACAATGCCAGTCATTAATCTGGATAACGGTACACAAGGTACTTTGTGATAAATTGTGATTGGGTTAGAATTGGTCACACGCATCTTTGCTGGTTGTATTATTTCAATCAGATGTTGAGGCTTGCTGACTTGGTTCATCTCGTGTTATTATACAAAGAAAGTATTGAGCATTGCTCACAATATCAATCGCTACGCTGTAAGGCCCAGATTTGATTCATTTGCCATCATATAGCTGGAATAATGTTGAATGAAAAAAGCACGATTGCACACTAGCTCACACGCATGCTCTCTCATACGGACGCATACTCTCTCTCTCTCTCTCTCTCTCACTCTCTTACTCACTCACTCACTCACACAGGCATCCTCCTGACCACTCATTTCCATTTCCACCTAATCTACTTTGGAAATACCACAGGGCAAACATGGTATTTAAGGATTTCACACAGATAAAGTCCTCATTACTGCAGAATATATTCTAAATATAATTCTCACCACTTAAGGGCCCAAATGATGTGTGAAGTGAGCTGAATTATTTTTGAATATCAGGTGACATTTTGATATTGTTATCAGTTGGTTATCTTGGTATTTGAGGTAGTTGCAGGGGAACATTACCCAGGTGGGTGATCTGTTTCTGGTTAGTTGATGATTCCAGAACTGTACATCATCCCTGTCAATTACTGCAGTATGCGTGAGAGATACACAAAGACAGGAACACCACTTGTGCCAAAGATTCCAAATGTCATGTATTAGTCACTCGGTATGTATAGAATAAATTGTATAAACCATATTTACAGTAGAAGTGACTTGAAAAGATAAAATATACTCTGTTCGTCTGTGATATTATAAACTGCAATATGCAACATGTTTTTGGAAAGAGAAATGTGTATGTTGAGCTGGACAAGTTAAACATGCTATAGACAAATCGGGTTGCAAGACACATGTTAGGTCAGGGGTCAACTAAGAATCGGTGTTGATGGAAAGCACCTGGCACCGGTGCCAGAGTATCTGGCAGTTATACGCCAGTTTAATATGTGCCTGTTGTATTATAACACAGGAGATGAGACTAGCAGATTCAGCGATAGGCCTATTGAGATGGAATAGTGGAACCATATTTACATGTTGTGCCAGGATTTGTGAAAGATGACACTGATAAGAAACAACACGATATTGTGTTTGGCATGTACATATAGTCCCAGGGGACTGTAGTGTATATTTGTGTCTTTTTATTCCGTTTATGGATTTTCATGATACACTTTAGCAGTGATTCCACACGGAAAATTATTCTCGTATGATTTTAAGAAATGGAATACCCAGCTAAATATGCACGTACCTGGAGATTGTTCTGTGAATGTTTTCCAAGAGTTGTTGGAAGTGCTGTCATAGACACCTTCAAGAACATTGTTTTTGAGTATTGCTTTGGGATTATGTATGTGTATAACCACTTTTCACGGACCTGATTAATGAAAACTAGGTGAATGAGGCCCAGTTAATAAGACACACACATACACCCTCTGGGTAATAACAGTTATGGCTCTCACAAAGGTCAACTATTTCGCCTGATGCCGTACTTCCCTCAATTAGCTGTGATTACAGGGAGATGCTCCGCTATGCCCAACTTGACGAGGAGAATGCTCAGCCATGACAATACAATGTCCGATAAGGTAGCAGATTTTTTTACAAAATTTCTGTCTTTGTTTAACAGTTTCCAGCGGCCAGGCATAACCGGAAGACATGAAGAACCAGTTAGTCCCAACGAACGTAAGTTGCAGCATTTTCATCACTATTCTGTTACCATGGTGATAGCTATGGTCCTTGTATTGTCTCTCTGCATGAAGCTTGCTCATCATACACAGACCGAAATCATTTGTTGTGATTTTTGCAGAATTGACTCTTATTGGTGTTGATCTGTCGATCTTGTAAGCTCTATATACTTTCCAATATGCAATCAGAGTGCATCGACGATTCTGCTGGAACTTGTTGCATTTGGTAGATCTGATAATATTTATTCCAAATTCTGAAACATGGAGTTATGATTACAGCATATCTGTATCCAATAATGTAATTCTTCCGTTATTAAGTTTTTCAATTTATTTGCTACAGTATTGTTAAATTAACTTGTCTTGGTTTGTTGATAATTTGAGACCATGATTTTCTAGTTTCAAAATAAACGTGATTAGAAATCGTTTATAGACAGTAACTTAGCTAATGATGTTCAAGCTTCTACATTTAAATAATATGTTTGCATGACTCTGTTAAACATATATGCATGGCAAGAGTTGTTTGAAGTTGAAAATGTGACAAAAACAATTCGTTCAAAATCAGCATCTACAAATAAAATGATGGAAAGAAAAAACACACTATTCAGAAGTCTGAGTCAAGTAAAATTTTGTTTGGTCTAATAAGTTCAGCTGGCAAATAACCTATAGTAACTTAAGAAATTGATAAATATGAGCCATGTCTGGCTACCAGTCTTGAAGTTTCTGGTGCAGGCTGAAGAAGGACCATTGCTTGTTGTCACATAAGACCATTACCACCTATCTATTGGATACAGTTATGGAATAAGAGACTTCGTGCAAAAATCTTCATATCATCATCTATCTTCCAAGTTACATTTTTTATGCAATATCCCGTGTTAAAGAATAACATCCCCTGCTTAAGATGAGCATTAAGATGTTAACTGACCTATTTAGCTGTCCAGACTTTGACTTGAGTGTGACAGGTTTAGTCATCGATTGATGTAGTATTGAGCATAATTCTTCAAAATGGTGTTTTAGATGTTAATAGACACTTAATTCTATAACTTTGGCAAAGCAATAATAATAAAATATCTTTTCTTGAGGTTTTTTGTTTTGGAAATTAAAGTCAGAATTTTTCTGTATTGAAAATGAAAATGAAATGAGTAGTTTTCGGGCAAGAGTTTTTGGTGTTTTTCGGTGTGTCAAACGCAAGAGTCCTCAATCACTGGAACATCTCTGTGATAGATATCAAAGAATATGATATCAAGGATATCAGATTTCACAATTATTGTCACAAACAAGTACAGTCTGGACGTCTGCTACATTGTGAATGTCCCAAACCTGTGTTACGTTTTGTATGTTGCCATTCTCCTCTTCCTCCTCCTCCTCCGATACTACAGAGGTAGGCTGTGGACATTGCCGCCACCGTCGTCTATATCAGTATATGTATGTATGTATGTACCTCATCAGGGATATCGGACTATGCTGAGATTGTGGAGGAAGACGGCGACTATAGCACGCCTGATGGTAAGTCCTTACTGTCTCACGCACAAATATTTTACACACAACTTATCAGATCTCTTCTCTCACTTGCACAGATATTGTACGGTGTGTTTTAAGCCTCGGATCGGTTTCTTTCTGTGTTTTGGTATTTGTCAGGTTTTAGTAATTATCAGGGCGTTCAAGGCCCAGGATGATGTAAAGTCTGTCTTTTTTAAAAGATGTTATCGTTTGGATTTGACAAATTTTTATGTGCTAAATCATTCATCATCACAATCTTTGAAATATTGGATACAGGACTTGATGTTTATGGAGCTGTACATGAACCCTGGTTTCCATATCAGCACACGGTGTTGTGTTTTTGTCATAAGGGTTTGATGTTTCAAAGGAAGGAACAGTAATGTATTTGAAGAATGTGAAAGGAATTCTACTTTGATAAGAGCACGCTTATGATTTCTTCAAGAATTTATGGAATTCTATTTACTTTTGTGACAAACTATCAGACTAATATTTTGGAGAATTTGTATTAAATGAAATTATATCTCATCGAGATAACATCCTGTATAAGTGTAGTCCTCTTAAGTCATACCTGGAAAAATGGATCTGGCTTGTTACAAGAAATTTTCTTCTGTTTATTTTTTTTTAGAATCTTAATTCTTTCTCTGATCACTATAGTTGTTTTGTCATGTGGTGTGTTGTGTTTGTACATATGTGTTTCAGTTACTGTGTTTATGGAGGTTACCATGACTACTTCTTGTGATAAAAACAATCTTTCGAAAACATAGAAAATAGGTAGTAGTGCATTAGAAATGGATATTAATAGGAAATATAGTGGTGGTGGGGTAGCCTAGTGGTAAAAGCGCTGGCTCGTCACGCCGAAGTCCCGGGTTCGAATCCCCACATGGGTAGAATGTGTGAAGCCCATTTCTGGCGTCCCCCGCTTTGATGTTGCTGGAATATTGCTAAAAGCGGCACAAAACCAAACTCAGTCAGTCAGTAATAGGAAATATAACAAAAACAGTAAAAAAACATTTATATCCTCATTCGTTATTGCCACAGGATGAAAACAAGATTTCTGTATGTATTTATGGAGGTGAATTTGACCAGTTCTTAATATAAAAAACTAGGGTTCCCACAAGATCTGGAAAACCTGGAAATTTCACACCCCATTTTCAATTCTTGGAAAATCATGGAATTTGAAAAAATGGATGGAATCATTGAAAAATCCTGGAATAATCGTCTTTTTTTAATCTAACAAAACTGTATATCTTAACAGTACCACAAGGGCTATGGCAGCCATCAACATGTGTATCTGGATTAGATTGCTGATATGTGAAAACTTGTTTAAGTACATGTGGTTCTAAGATTCTAAACAATAAGATGTATTCAATTGATGTTTAATTTTTATTATGTCATCTTATCATAGAGAGGTGTGAATGGACATATGTTAGGGGAGATGGGAGGCCGTATTTAAGATATTGTTTTCTTTCAGACACAGTAATATATGTTTAAAGGTGTCAAAATACCCTAGGACATATACATGTACTGTTGTGTCTGGAAAAAGCAATAATTGTCTGGAAAAATCATGGATTTTTTTTTCACAAATATGTGGGAACCCTGAAACAGTTTTAAAACAAAAAATAGCAGTAGTGCATTAGAAATGGATACTAATAGGAAAACACTAAATCATTTATATCTGATTCATCATTGCAACAGGAAAAAATAGATTTCTGTATGACATTGGCAGATCTTAATGGCACAGAAATGTGTCATAGCATTTTATGCAAAACTGGGACAGCTGTATTTCACAGTAGTCTGTTCTCATATTGCTTCATTTTCATGTTCATTATCAGTTTCAGTTTTAATAAAAAGTATTCACTTGGAATTCAAATTGTAAAGTGTCAACCAAGATTGAACTTTTCATTTAACTCTGATTTAACTCAATTCACACAAATGGCAGCATAATCAATTTCACAGCTGTTGAATTCGAATGAAACAGACACCATTTTTTGTCTCAGAAAAAAATCCAAATCAATTGTTGAGTCATCGTGGCTAACGGTCATCTGTCTGAAATCTCCTCAACCCCAACCAGATATCATATTCAGTCAGAAAATATCCCCTTTGCTGCCGCATTACCTCTGCACCGCACATCGAGTAATTTTGGGATTATTCGCTTGAAACGATCCAAAATCTAATAATACAGCCCAGGATTATTTTAAAAAACGATTTGAGTGTTTGACTTTTTGATGTTTTGGGATTACTCATCAGAGTGATATTCATTTAAATGACCTTCGTGACATTGTTGTGCGAGAAGACAACAGGCAGCTGTCATCAATTGTTTCGTGTTTCATGGGCCATGTTGTGTAATAAGGCCACAATTGCAATGCTGATTAATATGGCATTTCTAATTAGATCGCCTACGCTTCCACTGGGGTCCATTGTGTCTGTTGTTTGATATTCTGGAACCAACTTTTAGATTCAGACATTAAAGAAAATAGGCATCATTACGAAAGAAAAATCAGCTTCTTTAAACATTTTCTTGACAATCAGAATAGTTCAGTCATTGATTTCGCTTGGAATTTTCTTTTCTGCAAATTGCAAAGGTAATGCAAATGTTTCAAATGTTCTGAAGTGCATTGTCATAGAAAGTTACTGCATGTCGTTACGAACAGTTAATCTTTGAAAAATATGTGAAATTGTAATGAATAATCTGAACTTAAATCAGAGTGACTGGGATTTTTCTTATAATTGTCTCATAATTTTGTAAACGTAATGTTATGTTTTTATCTCCGTTTAGCTGATACAAATATAAAAAAGTGAATTGTAAGAAATAGACACCTATTGAACATGTCTGGTAACATTTCTTGTTTTGTAATGTTAAACATGTTTCATTTTGAATCCTCAAAGTTATTGTGTTTTTCAACATAATGAAAGCATCTACGTTCTTGTCATCAGTTGTTTCGTTGTCTCTGTGTTCATTGCTGAAACATCCAGCCTCACTGCTAAACTAGAGTCAGCTTTGCTTGTATGAAGTGAAACATGAAGGACTACCGACTATATGTCCCTCAGAGGGAATGTTGAGAATTTCTGCAGTATGGCTTTAGCCTAGAGCTAGGAAGAATGGTGTCTGAAAGTGTTTGTTCTACATTCAAACTGTGTTATTTTCTTGTTAAAACCCCGAAAACGCTTGAAAATATTTTTAACATACTAGTACTTATTTGTATTTTCTTTTCCTAAAAGAATTTGACTTGGAAGAAATTTTCAAAAGTGAAAGTCTTTTTGTAATGTAATTGGATTGTTTTGATTGCAATACTTTTCCATATTCTTATTAATCTAATATTTTAATTTTAAAATTTTAATCAGAATTAGTTATTATGTGATCTGAAAATAGTAATGAAAAGTGAAATACTAATAACAGGAAACATAACCAGTTTTAATTAAGAAATGGAATGTGCTGCAAGAAAGGTTTAAGAATGAATAGGTTAAACTAAGGGAGATAACTGGCTTCTCCCATGGTAAACTTGAACAAAACCAACACAGTCTCTGTATGCCAGGAGGCATCGCTAGGATCAGCAAGGCATAGGTCAAGGTATACAGGTCAACATATGTCTTATTTTGATCACCTTGTATCTCAGGTGCTCACAACTCGAGAGGTAGCAAGCGAAAGAAAAGTGAGTTCTGTTTCAGTTTGCATGGTGTTAATTAACAGCCACAGTGGGCAGTTGCCTGTGACCGGATGTGACCAAATCTGACCACCATTGTGATGCCAGCATGGGACTTAACAGTCTGGAACGTGTAGAATATGGGGACTTTTTGTATGAGGCTGATAGGAATTGGCATTATTTGAAATCTCAGTTCTGATTTTACCATTTACATTAAATTGTTTTTAATTTTTTTATCACTTATGTAATTTCTTAATTTACATTAATCTGTATTTTGTTCAACATTTATTTAGTCGGATTATTTTATTTTGTAGATTTTAGGTGATATTTTTCTTGCTTTTTCCAATCAACAATCTTGTGAATATCGTCATTCAGCCATGTTAGATTATGGTTGAAAGAGCCAATTCCTACCAAATCGTTCAAAGGCCCTCTGAACTTGATGATGCAACTATGAATTGCAAAGTGCATTGTGAACAATGAGTGCTTGAAGTGTGAGCCTGTTATGAACAAGTAATTGCATTTTGATCTGATGCCCGTCATAACTCGTATCTATATCTCTCCTCTGCTTCTAGGAATGAAGGCAGGATTGTATGGAATGTACAATTAGATGCCTTGCTTCTAGATCAAGTATTCTGTGGCTGACACGAGCCCTGTCTCTCAAACTGTCGTCTTTAGTCATGCCTGGATAAGAAATCACTGACATGAACATGCTGTCTATTGTTATTGAAATTGATGATGAAATATACAATATTGTGGTTTAGCCTAGAGGTATTGAATAAATGGATCAGATGTTATTCATCAACTGACATGTATATGTAGTATTCTCTATATATTAACACCAGAGACTAATACTGACTCTCCATAGTGCATGCTGTGTAGATGGTAAACACAAGTTGAAACCGGAAACTGGTACTCAACTATCCAGCATGCTTATCATTTTTTATCTTTCTGTTTTCATATGGGGTAGCCCAGTGGTTAGAGCGTTTGTTTGTGACGCTTAAGACCTGGCTTCATTACCTTGGGTACAATGTGAAGCCGATTTTGGGTGTTCCCTGCCGTAATATTGCTGAAACATTGCTGAAACATGAAACCATACTTAATCTCTCTAAATTCTCAACAAGCTTTTAAGAAACTCCTTCCATTCAGCACATTTATTCCTTTCAACAATAGCATGGTCTGAGTTTCATATGACAGTTATGAAAGTCGGTTGGCATAGAAGCTTTTTCTGAGCAACAAGCCGTCTTAATGTTGATAGGGTTATATTTAACTGCACAGTTAACGTGGACATGTCGCTGACCATGTGTTGGTGTTTCAGCACGTGACTACGAGATTATCCGGGATGCCATCAAGCTAGTGGAGATCCTGGGAGAAGGACAGTTTGGAGATGTGTACAAGGGAAACTATATCGACAGGGTAAGTGGCTGGGCCCATCCATGTGTACTTGTGGGATTATGGGTAAACATGGCCCCCAGCAACCTGTGATGATCATGGTGGTCATGCTTGGAAACATGGTATATTGTGTGTCTTTGTACTCCCCCCAAACACTTGAAGATCCGGGTTAGAATTGGTCTTCAGCAACCCTTCTTGTAAAAGGCAACTAACGGGATAGTGTGGTCAGACTTGCTGACTTGGTTGACACATGTCATCGTATCCCAATTGCGTAGATTGATGCTCATGCTGTTGATCACTGGATTGTCTGGTCCAGATTGGAGTATTTACAGACCACTGCCATATAGCTGGAATATTGGTGAGTGCGGAGTTACACCAAACCAACGTACTCCAAAGATGTGGACCAGTCTCTGAATTGTGGGCCTGGTATCTGGACTCACAAACAAACAAACAAACAGACAGAGAATATGTTTTTTTAGGGTTGTAGGTTTTAAGTGATGATTGCCAGAGTTGCAGATGCTGATGTTGTTGGAATCTCAGTGTCAAATTTAATTATCTTCTTTGAGAGCCATTTTAGAAGTTGTATAGATGAAGGAAAACCAAGTTCTATAGACAAAGAAGCTGACTATCCATAGAACTTGGTTTTCCTTCAAATATAATTATGTCATCTATTTTTTCACCATGACTGTTTTTCTGCCATCTACAGTGTTATTTTGGATCACTAACAGTGAATATCTTGAATTGCTGTTATAAGCCAGGGGATTAGAGTTTTCATAGTTGAATACATGTTGTGGTTGCAGCAACATTCTTGAATCAGTGGAGATAAGTGACAAATTGCTGCTGCTTGTACATGGCATGTAAAGTGACGTTAATTTGAGAGTCATGGTTTGATCAGTTGATAAGGATTGGTGACTGTTTATAACACCAACAAAACTGAAACATGATTGTATGTTGGCTGTGTATGATGTTGATTATGTGTTGCAGGAATAAAGTGATTAAATAGAACACCCAAAAAGATGGAAGGATTTTGTCCGGACCTTTTATTGTTTTAACTTATATTGTGTTGGCCATGTATTGTGTTGACATTATATTGTGTCGGCTGTGTGTTGCAGGAAGGAAGCCAGGTGCCGGTGGCTGTCAAGACATGCAAGGAAGACAACGAGGAAGCCATGACAGAGAAGTTCCTTGAGGAAGCCTGTGAGTGTCCTAGATAAGTCAAATATACTTCCCACATACATCGGTATACCTCCCAGATACATTAAATATACTTCCCAGATACATCAAATATACTTCCCAGTTGCATCAAATATACTTCCCAGATACATCGGCATATGTCCCAGATACATCAAATATACTTCCCAGATACATCAAATATACTTCCCAGATACATCAAATATACTTCCCAGATACATCAAATATACTTCTCAGATACATCTGTATACTGCACAGACTTGCTAAATAAACATCACAGATATGTCTATATGCATTACAGACAAACCACCATACTTCTCAGACACAACCGTTATGTTAGTATGCATTACAGATGTCAATATACTTCTCAGTGATGGCAGAGATTTGTCTATATGCATTACAGACAAACCACTATACTTCTCAGACACAACCGTTATGTTAGTATGCATTACAGATGTCAATATACTTCTCAGTGATGGCAGAGATTTGTCTATATGCATTACAGATATCAATATACTTCTCAGTGATGGCACAGATTTGTCTATATGCATTACAGATATCAATATACTTCTCAGTGATGGCACAGATTTGTCTATATGCATTACCAATGTCAATATACTTCTCAGTGATGGCACAGATATGTCTATATGCATTGCAGATGTCAATATACTTCTCAGTGATGGCACAGATTTGTCTATATGCATTGCAGATGTCAATATACTTCTCAGTGATGGCACAGATATGTCTATATGCATTGCAGACACATTGACATCCTTCAGTCATGTCACAGACACATTGACATCCTTCACAGTCATGTCACAGACATGTCAGTTTACTTCTCAGACATGTCACTATACATTTCAGACACATCAATATCATTCACAGACATCTCGATATCATTCTATATTTGTCATTCATTATTTGAAATAATGGCATTCTAATAACTTACAGTATGGCTTTAATGTGTTTTTGAGTTTGTTTGTTAGTGCAGGATGTGTTCGTGTTCCAGACATCATGCAGCAGTTCGACCACCCCCACATCGTGAAGTTGATAGGCATCTGTTCCGAGTCCCGACCTGTGTGGATCGTGATGGAGCTGGCGAGGCATGGAGAGGTAAGGACTGCTTGATACGATGGACAGTTAAATGCTAGGTTTAAATGGTGGTCATCGGTGCCCCACTACTCCTAGGGTTTCACATAGGCAGAGCTGGATGATACATAAATGTGGACATTTATAGGTTATTTGAATGGTTGTCATGGCTGGCCTTGTGGTTCATGGTACATGGTTCATGTACTACAACTGGTCAGTGGGGGACGGTTCAAATCCCAGCTTGTTCCTACTAATGGTGCTTGGTCAGCACTATACTTACACTTGTTGGTTGTGTCAAGATGGTGAACATCTACACTTTGGGCTTCCTTCTAGGTCTTAGATGACACTGACATAATTAAAGTTGTGAAAGACAGCAGTCCGTCTTTGGTTCCCACCATGATTGTCAAAAATGGTTCATGTTAATATCTCACTTTCTCTTTAACCATGTGATCACAACATTCACTGATACATTAAATTAAGATAGTTTATTCAAGTGGTTGTTATTGCAGATGCGAGCCTACCTCCAGAACAACAAGCCCCGTCTGGACCTGGTGAGCCTCATCATGTATGCCTACCAGCTCTCAACAGCACTCTCCTATCTGGAGAGCAAGAAATTTGTACACAGGTAAACACAGCACCACCATGCATATAGTTAATACATGATACCCAGGCCTCAAAGTTAAGGGATGGTAAACAAATAAAACATCAGCCTTCCTGTGTTGAGATGAACTATTTCATGTTATTATTTTCAAATATTAAATAATAAAATGATTTCAAAATACCTGGCCATGTAGTTTATCAGTAGTTGTCATTAAGCAAAGGGTAAAGTGGATTGTGTGTGCTGAAACTTTAGTCCTATTGGAGTTATCTCCCTTAGACATCAAGATCCGGTTTCTGAATTAAATTTTAGAAGAGTCTTATCTTTTGATGATTTATGTGCAGGTGAGTTTAATTTTCGTTTCATTATGTGATTAGTGAAAAATGATCTAAGGCTATCATTCTAATTTGAATTAAAAATTATTCACGTTTGATTGCAGAGACATAGCGGCACGGAATGTGTTGGTGTCTGGGCATGACTGTGTCAAGCTGGGAGATTTTGGTCTTTCAAGATGGGTAGAGGAACAAAGTTATTATAAAGGTAATCACAGTTTATCCTTAAATCATGGTATAGTTTACTACAAGAAGGAATAAAACAAAATGTATGTCATTGTCTACCAAAACAAAAAGTTACTGTTTTGTCCTGAATATGTCTGGTCTTAAGAGTTATGGGACCTTAAATGGTGGACTTGCTCCTTTCTCTGTAATGATTTCTTCTGTACTCTGTACATTTCTGGTAAGGTGTTGTTCAGTAAAGCCTTAAAGACATCTGTCAGTTATAACAAGTGTAACTTTCCTATTCTTCAGCTTCCAAAGGTAAACTTCCAATCAAGTGGATGGCTCCTGAATCCATAAACTTCCGCAGGTTTACAACAGCCAGTGATGTGTGGATGTTTGGTGAGTCTAGACTTCCTCAACAACTTTCAGCCATGTGTTAAACTGGTTCTCTCCTTTTGCCAGGCGTTCTGTGCCTATTGCAGGGGTGGTAGGGTAGGGTAGGGTAGTGCTAAAAAATGGCATACTCACTCATAATGTCAACCCCTGATTGTTGGCCCATGAAGATCAGGGTTAGAATTGGTACTCAGGAACCCTTGCTTGTTGTATGAACTGAATAACGGATCAGGTGGTCAGGCTTGCTGACCTGGATGACATGTCATCATCTCCCATGCTGTTGATCACTGGATGACCAACAGCGATATTCCAGACTTGTTTTTTTCCAGCCATTTATGGCTGGAATATTGCAGAGTGCTGCATTAAAAAATGGAAAAAAAACAACAACAAAAGGGTCTCCCCGAAATCGGTAATATTAAGGGTTTCAATCCAACTTTTGCTCTCATTATGGGTCCAGGTTGTCAGTATCATATTTGTGATTGTGGGTTTTACCAAAGTGGTAAAAGATCTGCATCTCTTACAGTTCAGGTGACATGTAATGAAGCTCACTCATTTGTCGCCGTAGTAAAGTAGTACCATCATCATGCAGTGAGAGTTGATGTCTTCCACTTTCAGGTGTGTGTATCTGGGAGATTCTTATGTATGGTGTAAAGCCCTTCCAGGGCGTGAAGAACAACGATGTGATCGGGAAGATTGAGGCGGGAGAACGGCTGCCCCTCCCGGCTGGATGTCCTCCCTCACTCTACAACCTCATGTGTGTCTGCTGGCAGTACGAACCTTCCAAACGACCGTCCTTCGCCGACCTCAAGACATGGTTATAGTGAGTATGCCGCCTATCACACTTTATTGTAATGTAAGGTGGCTGGGTATGCCATTCTGGAAATTCATACTTGAAAAGTATTTGCGACTTTATCAAAGTGAAAACATGGTTATTGTGAGTACACTACTCAAAGATACCTTTGTTGTAATGATAGGTGGCATCTGTGGCACTAAACTTAATCTTGCAGGACGTAAGGTTGCTCAAATTACCATAACAATTTAGCCTGAATTTTATGCAGATTAGCATCAATGAGATTCTGTTGTTTTGTATTAGTATTGTATAGACTTGTGTAGGTAATACAGAAATAGAAAAAAGATTCCCCATCATACACTGATAACAAGCTTGTTTTAAGGGAAAATGAACCTAAGGTGCCAGGATTTGATTTTACTTATTTCTCCAATTTTGACAAATTTGTGCTCAGCTTACTTGCACCCAGTTCCCATTGAATATCTCTGTGTTGTGTTTGCAGTGAGATCCTTGAGGAGGAGAGGAACAGACAGGAACAGGAGATGCACAGGGATAACAGGAGGGTCCAGGCAATATCATGGGGTATGTAGCCTAGGTGGGATAACAGGAGGGTCTAGGCTATATCATGGGGTATGTAGCCTAAGTGAGATAACAGGAGGGTCCAGGCTATATCATGGGGTATGTAGCCTAGGTGGGATAACAGGAGGGTCCAGGCTATATCATGGGGTATGTAGCCTAGGTGGGATAACAGGAGGGTCCAGGCTATATCATGGGGTATGTAGCCTAGGTGGGATGACAGGAGGGTCCAGGCAATAGCATGGGGTATGTAGCCTAGGTGGGATAACAGGAGGGTCTAGGCTATATCATGGGGTATGTAGCCTAAGTGAGATAACAGGAGGGTCCAGGCTATATCATGGGGTATGTAGCCTAGGTGGGATAACAGGAGGGTCCAGGCTGTATCATGGGGTATGTAGCCTAGGTGGGATAACAGGAGGGTCCAGGCTATATCATGGGGTATGTAGCCTAGGTGGGATGACAGGAGGGTCCAGGCAACATCATGGTGTACGTAGCCTAGGTGGGATAACAGGAGGGTCCAGGCTATATCATGGGCTACGTAGCCTTTGTGGGATAACAGGAGGGTCCAGGCTATATCATGGGGTACGTAGCCTTTGTGGGATAACAGGAGGGTCCAGGCTATATCATGGGGTATGTAGCCTAGGTGGGATAACAGGAGGGTCCGGGCTATATCATGGGGTACTTAGCCTAGGTTAGATAACAGGAAGGTTCATGCAATATCATGGGGTACATAACCTTTGGTGATATAACAGAGGTATCAAGTTAAAGTGGATTTAACAGTGATTGTTCATGTTTATTCAGTGTTGGTTCAAATACTTTCCTTTGCTTGACTGTTTTTCTGTGAAGACTGAATGGATCTATTCAACTTGCAGTTTCCAATGGTTCAGACGACGAGCCCCCACCACCAAAGCCTGCCCGGCCACTCTACCCAGGGTCCACTTCCAACCTCAGCTTCAATTCCAGTGTGTCGTCCCTCCCTCATCAGTGGAACTCCACCTCCAACCTCCCCAAGGGCCACAGCACCCCAGCAGGGCCATCACCCGACATGGCAGCCATCAAATCATTGGGAAGGCCGGACCCTGGCCCACCCCATGTGAACACCTTGCATGGATATTTCCCATCTTCCACAGGGTACATGCAGGTGGGTGCAGCAAGGAGGGTCACAGAGGTGGGGATAGATTGAGGGTGGGGATGTAGGGGGTAATTGCAGCAGGGTGCAGCAAGGAGGGTCACTGAGATGGGGTCAAGATGGGGACGAATACTGAGGGTGGGGATGTAGGGGGGTGCAGCAAGGAGGGTGACAGAGAGGGGGATAGACTGAGGGTGGGATGTAGTGGGAGGGTCACAGAGAGGGGGATAGATTAAAGGTGGGAATGTAGGGGGTACATGCAGGTGGGTACAGCAAAAAGGGTCACAGAGAAGGGGATAGACTGAGGGTGGGATGTACGGTGAGAAGAGAGGGGTCACAGAAACAGGGATAGATTGAGGGTCGGGAAATATGTGAGAAGAGAGATGGATGCAGCTGGGAGGGTCACTGAGATGGGGAAGAATACTGAGGGTGGGGATGGAGGGTGTCAAGAAAGGGCTAGATGCATGTGGGTGCAACAAGTAGAGACATAGAGATGGGGATAGAATGAGGGAGATACAGGGGTATATGCAGGTGAATACAGCAAAGAGAATCAGTAAAACTTTGAAAAGCAGCAACATAGGCAACGTTTTGCATCATCATCATCATCATCATCATCATCATCATCTACACTGTCATTCCCTGATAACCTTCATTGTTCCCTGCAGGTGTCTGCTCCTGGTACTACCAACTTCACCACAGGTTTCACCCCCAAGGCACAAATGGATCCTTCATACCCACCCTACCCCAGTCACAACCACAATCAACACTCCCAGGACCTCATCTCTTCAGGGCACTACCAGGCCCCTTCCCCCCGAGACTCCTTGGTCCTGGGGAGGATCTCCCCACCCCCCACACCCAGAACACAAGTAAGTTGCCACCTTGGTCATATTGGGTCAACACAGCGACCAGCTTGACAGAGTTGTGTCCCTTAGAAACATGTGATTGAGAGTTGGGTATCCTCGTGTGCTTCTTTGTTTGCCAGCACCAAAGTTGACTTCATGGGTTATACCATGGTGGTAAATGTCTAAGAACTGCTTCACCTTATGTTTTCCCCTAATATCAGATGGACACACCAGTTGCTGCCAGGGCTAATGCTTGCAATAAGGTGAAGGTAATAGAAGGTCGGGGGGTTGCCTTGGTGGCATAGACAGTTACTCTTGCTGTCGACCACTGGTTTTATACTATTTATTGGCATCCATGATACAGCTGGAATGTTACCAGAATATATATTCTTGTTGGTTTTCTCAGAGATTTGGTTGTTTTGATGTTAGTCATTTTACTGTCGGTGACATTATGTTCCACAATATACTGAATATTTGTGACAGTAAATTTCAATTTCTATGCATTAGACTCAGCCAGTATGAATAGGCAGACGTTTGAAGTTCCTTGCAAGATAATTTCATATCCCCCCCCTCTCTTCCCTCATATACATTTCATTTATTATGCACTTCTGTCATTGAAATGTCCGGTTTATCTTTAAACAGTAACTTACAAATGATTCTGTGGAGTTTCGTTTATTACCTGGATAGTTTCTTTTAATCTTATGTATCCATGAACCAAAATAATCATCGGTCAGTGCCCAGCATTGGGCACCACTGTCGTATAACTGTTTCATGGTAGGTTGACAATAGAATGGTTGAATTGTTGAATCAATTATTGTGCAGAATGACTTTTCTGATTCGTCTCCCCTTTTTGATTTCTGATGAAATTATCAGTCTTTGAAATTATTGTTGACTTAACTATTGGTAGGGGTGGGGGACAAGGGGAGTTTTACTGTTCATGTGTTTCTTCATTTTTATAAGGTATACATGTAACAACTGGTGTGCATACTCATTAAATCTGCCTTGTCATTTCTTATACACTCTCGTCACAATATGGCTGAAATATTGCCGATGTGACGTTAAATAATAACTCACTCACTCACTCTTATACACTTAAGCTTTACTCATAATCCACCTTGTGTAGCTAGTAGCTCTTGTCTTGTCCCTACCCCAGAATACAATCAGATGTTGTGTCAAATCAGTGAGTTTGTCCATCTCCAAGCCTGCATTGTGATGTATACTATTCACACTTTGCTAAGGATCAAATAATGGATTCAACAGAAAACTATCATGTGGGGTCAAATTTGGTTTAAATATCTATGCTTATTGTAAGCATGGTTCCTAGGTTTCAGTATGTCATTGCATCTTATGGATCCCAGGTGTTGTTTATTTGTCAATGACCCGTACCATTATTTGCAAAATGGTTGATCGGTGCCATGAAAACCATTTTTTATGGTTTCTCATGTATCATGTGCATACGATTAGAATTAAGTGGCTGTCTGCCTAAAGAGGGGTTATCATATTATTATGTATCCAATTTTAAATAGATACAATTTCAAATTATAAATCTACGTTTAAGTAAAGTTGTGAATTTATGTGTTCCTTATCAAAGTGTCAGTAGTATATTTCCCTTCTGTAAGATATTACAGTGCCATGTTGTATCATGAAATGTTTTTGCTGTTTACAAGTTCTAGTGTTGACATATACTACCGATTCTTGTATTGTCCAAGGGGCGGCGGGGTAGCCTAGTGGTCTAAACGTTCGCTCGTCATGCCGAAGGCCCGGGTTTGATTCCCCACATGGGTACAATGTGTGAAGCCCATTTATGGTGTCCCCTGCCGTGATATTGCTGGAATACTGCTAAAAGCGGCGTAAAACCATACTCACTCACTCACTTGTATTGTCCAAACAAAATTGTATATCTTACTGTACATGATTGAGATAAAAGTATAAGTCATAACAGGTTCTTTGTGGTCTATTTTCTGTGTGGTAACAGTATTTCAAATCCATTTCTAGAGTGATCTGATTTTTTAAGAAAGAATGTATGTGTAAAGTTTGAAGTGAAGGTGTAGAGTGTTCTGATTGCTGTTGCAGGAGCTGGATGAGGAGGAGATAGCGTATCGCCTGCGTCAACAACAGCGGGAGTCGGAGGAAGACGCCAGGTGGCTGAGGTCGGAGGAAAAGAACTTGGTGAGAGTCTCTCCTCATTTGTCTCTTGTCAGAAAATATTCCAGCTATATGAATGTGGTCTGTAATTCATCTAGGCTGAACTAGGCAATCCACTGATTGATAGTTTCTCAAACATTTAATAATTTGGATGAATGAAAAACTGTTGTGAATTGTCAAGTGAACAAATAATTTTTTTAAATAATTTTAATAACAGTATGTTATTTCAGTGACATTAGGGACCGTTAGTAATTTATGGCTTGGTGGGGTGATGATGATTTTAATGGAGAAGCATGTACAATGTGAATGACACACACACACACACCCCAAAAATTTATGTACTAAGCAAGTGACCCGTGACCCCCCTGCATGTCATGTACAAAATCAATGTGCCCCCCACCTCCATATTTTTAAAGCATAATTTTAACATATTTTTATGTACAAATTTGCTTTCTCCCCCAAACTAAATGGGTGACCCCCATAAAATCATCATCAAACAAACACACACACCCCACCATAAATTATAAACGGTCCCTTAAGTAAATGCTTTCACCAAAGAATCACTGGGTTAAGATTTTGATGTTGTAAATTTTATTGATACAATGTCATAGAAAAGTCATGAACATGTCAAGTTAATAGTACCAGGCTACCATCTTACTGTCAGTCTCTGATTATCACTGATGACTGTGTTTTCTAAGGATGAACAATTTTCTGTTTATGCTTTACCAACTCACTGACATGTATTGCAGCGGAGAGAGAAGTGGGCAGTCCATAAAGTACGCCATGACGAGGACAGCGACAGCACAAAGGAGAACTCTCCGCCTCTTCCACCACCACTTAGTAAGACGGCGCCAAGACTGGCCAGCCAGGCTTCCAGTGAGTAGCCGTCAGCTCCCTCCAAACAGCCAAACCGTTAGAGAACTCCCATCTCCCATGGAGGATTCAGTTCCTGTTCACAGTTCACTGTATGCCTTGACATGGTCTCCATGTGTGCTGGGGCGGTGGGGTAGCCTAGTTTATTGAAGCGTTTCCCTCATCATGCGAAGATCCAGGTTCGATTCAGGGGTGGAAATAACTTTAAAATTGCTAGTGTACTCCGGTACAGTGGCACATGTAAAGTCACTTGCCCTGATAATTTGTTCACTATACCGACCGTTTTCTTGCTGATTTTTTAAATAAACAACATAATTACCATTGAAAAGTCAACTGGACACCGGTACAGTGTGATATACAAATTTGCTTGCCCGATAGAAAAAAACACTGGACGCGGACGTTTGGCAATGGGTTATTTCCATCCCTGCGATTCCCCACATGGGTACAATGTGTGAAGCCCATTTCTGGTGTTCCCCGCCATGATATTGCTGGAATATTGCTAAAAGCGGCGACGAAATGCTGTCACTCACTCCATGTATGTTTATGTGTTTAAACACTGGGAAATGTCTACATGGCACTTTGGGCTCAAACCAAACTCACTCACTGTCTCTAAATGTTGTTATCAGTGCTTTTTGTGTAAATAAGTCATTGTCTTTGTGTTATGAGGGCAGTCATTTATGACTAGATAGTGACATATCAATGCAGACAAAGTGGTTTTTAGGTTACTTTAATCCAACTTGCTGGGACATTGCCAAAGACTTGTACTTTTCCAGTACACTATGCCTGTACAGTAGCAGTGAAGGAAAGATAGCCCGTCCCAACGTCCGAGACTGGTGAATTTTGTGGAGGACGGGTTAAAAAAATATCTAGTCCGTCCTCATGTCGGGTCAATTTTAGCAAACTAATGACATATATATAATGATTATAACCTTTTTGAATATTTACTGCCGAAGGTGTTTTATTTATATTTGGAGGACAGGCTAGATTTTGGCAGGACTGGTAAAAAAATTGACCTGCCAGTCCTGTGGACAGGCTAGATTTTCTACATCTTTCCTACACTGACAGTAGGCCTGTACACTGTGCCTGTACAGTAGGCCTGTACACTGTGCCTGTATGGACCAGACAAGTGTGCTAGATGTAGTGTGGCAGCTTGTCCAGACTGGCCCTTGCTGATGTGTGGTCTGGTTTCAGGTGGGAGCAGAAGCAGTAGCACCAGTGACTCCACAGACCTGGGAGGTCCAGTTGGGCAGAAGGTCAGTCACACCAATACACTGGAATTTTCATTTAAATTGTCCACATGAAGAGAAAAGGATTGGAAAAGTTATGAGAGCATTGTCTGCTTCTAAACACATTATTTGCAGTAACGTATCATAATGACAATAGGATGAGAAACGAACTATGCAGATAATCAATCTTACCAGAATAACAAATGGGGGCGTTTCTGTGCTATGAATAAAACACCCATGATTCCTTTCATGGCAGTCATGCTGATAAACAGTTTAACCACAATATCGAAACAGGCTGCTTTGGTGATAACAAAATTGAATATTCATTCTGTGTAGCGTCATGTTTTGAATATGGCTTACATTTGAAAATTTGTCTTGAGAGAATAAGGCTTGTATCTCTTTTGTCATTCAGCTAACTCTGAATGATATATGATAGTTTCCTTAGTTCTGATTTTCACGAGCTGCAAACATTTTGTTGTAGTCCTCCATCAAACATTAACTGTGTGTCTACATTAACTGTACATCAGAGACGTCCTATTCAGTGATATCTCCTCTATATTGCAGATGGCATCCAACCTTGACCGTACGAATGATTCCGTGTACCAGAGCACCACCAACGTGGTGCGGTCAGTGATGGCCATGACCAAGGCGGCGCCACAGGTCAAGTCGGAGGATTATGTAGATTTAGTAAAGGTAATAAGCAAACCGCGTATTGTCACTTGACTGAAGCCTCTGGTGATGTTTCTCTGTCTGTGTTCACTGGTTCTGAGTTACAATTTGTTTCCAGCAACACATGCTTAGAGACCGTTCTTAATTTATGGCTAGGGGGTGGGTGATAATGATTTTTGTGGAAAAGCATGGACAATGTGGATGGAAAAACACACACACACACACACTCACTCACTCACTCACTCACTCACTCACTCACTCACTCACTCACTCACTCACTCACTCACTCACTCACTCACTCACTCACTCACTCACTCACTCTCACACACACACACACACACACACACACACTCCAACACCCACCCCAAAATTATGTACAAAGTAAGTATTTCTTCTTCTTTTTTTCCTCCCCCCCCCCCCCCTTTGCATGTCATGTACAAAGTCAATGGAAATTTGTTGAGTGTTATGCCACACTACAAACAAACACACACATAACTCGTGCACAGATGGCCCTGTCTTGAGCACTGCTGTTTAATGGGTAGAGTTGTGTCCCTTTGATATGCAAGTTCCCATATATGGGTGATTGCCATCCCTGGATTAGAATTTCTATCTAATTCTGGTTTTAAATGATTTGCATATGTATTATGCTCAAACAAATATGTGTAGCACATGCAGCTGTTACTATTCTACACATTTACACTAAATTTCCTTCATTAAAACTAATGTGATATAATTTAGTTACACTTGATGGCAGCTATTAGTCAATTATTGCTTGTCGTTTCATATCACTGTGATATGTATGATATATATTACGTTAAATTTTCCTTGTCCCATGTAATATAATAGGCATTTTCAGTTCCAAATATTGACTTCAGACAGATTACAGCCTGCATACATAATGCAATTAGGAGTCAGGACTTTGAAACTCTTCATATATTGATTTTTTTCAGCGATAAGTATTTGCTATTATCTTCAATGACCATTCACAATGGCATTTGCCTTGCTATCTTCCATATCACACATACAATGTACCTTTACAACAGAAGGTCGTAGGTCTGCTGCTATAAATTAGTGATGGATCATCCTATTATTCCTGATAGCCTGCTGACATTGAAGTGCTCTGTTATAGACCGTTGGCCTGCAGCTCCGGAGTCTCCTTGCTAGCGTAGATGAAACACTTCCCCATCTTCCCCAAGATAACCACAGAGAGGTACGTCAGAGTTGTCTTCTCTTGGTGAATAGGTCATGGTCAACTCATAATCCAAAACTGCTCGTCTGCCAGAGTGGTATACATATTCAACTTGCTTTAGCTAAACATGACAATTCTGTTTTCGACTTTGTTCCCTGATTGGATGGTCGGACTTGGTGACTTGGTTTATTGCACATCATTTCCTGACAGCGTGAACAGTTGTTCATAATATCAATCACTGGATGTCAGATAGAGCCTTGATTATATACGGGGTAACCTTAATGGTTAAAGCATTTGCTCGTCTCACCGAAGACCCAGGTTCGATTCCCCTGCATGGGGTGCAGTGAGTGTAGCCCATTTCTGGTGTCCCCCTACGTGACATTGCTGGAATATTGCTAAAAGCGGTGTAAAATCATATTCACTCACTCACTCACTTCAACTCCCAGCTGACATGTCAAAATATAATGGAAATACTGAAACACCAACATTAAGCTCACTATAATATTACTGATATGCATTTAAACATTGTTTTTTTCTAAGCTAACTCTTGTATATGTACTCTGTACAAAGAAATGAAGAAAATAGGCTTTCCAAAGCAAAATGGCCATTCATGCAAGCTTTATTGTCTTGAAAATTGCCCAGTACTGACAAATCTCATACTGTGTCTTTTCTTCCTTTCAGATTTCTATGGCGCAGAAAGTGCTTAGTACAGATATGGCATCCCTGATCAGTGCAATGAAGCTAGCCCAGGAATATAGTGCTACTACCTTGGACTCGGACTATCGAAAGGGCATGCTTAAAGCTGCCCATTGTCTAGCCATGGACTCAAAAAATCTTCTAGATGTTGTTGATACAGCAAAAAATGAAAGGCAGGATGGAAGGCATTAGCTGATTCTCTAGGAGACAGTAGTGATCGGATTAAGCTCCCTTTGAAACCAAAATGGCAGCAAACTGTCCGTCTGTTGCTATGGAGATGAAGCCCATATTGTCATAGCAACACATGGGCAGTTTGAGTTGAGTTTTCTTCTGGATGATGCATGTTTTCAAAGAGAAAGGAATAGCTGTCAATACATTACTCCTCTCAGACAGAATATTCACCATGCTTCACGTCAAGACCTGTGTTCTGTCACTGAAAACTGATGGACATATTCTGTGCCCAGTCCAAGTTATTGAACTGGTCGTCATATTTCCGAGAAAAAAACAGCTTCATCTCTTGAAAAATCTTTCAGAATTGTTAAGAATTATACATGTTTATCCCCTTAAAACATACAAGCTGTTTGAAGGCATTGAAAAAATGCGTTGAACGCCTGAGGACTGTTTGGTTGTTATAACATGTAACTATATAGTACAGTAATATGTGTTTAACTTACGTAGCTGCAGTTCTGTCAGTTTATCGCTGCTGTTGGTGATGTTTCCAAAGCGTTTGTTGAAGTTTGATGTTTAAAAACAGTTGACTGTTACAAACTGATGCCGAAATATATCGTTCAGAGAAAGGCGGAATGTTTTGTTCTGAAGTAGGTAAAACCAGAAATGTTTTGGGTGTTAAGGAATAGGCTCAGTTTAGAGAAGTAGTTTGTGTTTTGTTGATTCCAGTCTTGTGACAGGTAGAGTTAGGAATTGCTTCAGGGTCACAGTTTGACAGATCATGTTATAAAAGATCTCTTTTGAAATTTTTGTGAATGTATTCCGAAATATTTTCCATCATCATGTTTATCACTGAGTCCATACTTCATTTCCAAGGACAATTATGAAATCATTTTTACCAGGAATAGATTTTGTACTTAAATATTTACATGTCCAAAAGAGTGATCTCATTGTTTAGGTTTCATCAGTGATCAGTAATCACACAAGTTATCAAGGAAGAGGTGGAAATGAAGGTCTTGCGTGTATAATGTCTAAGTGCTAATAACATTTTACTTAAAAAAATAATATGTTGTTTTTGTTTCACAGAAAACAGGTTATACAAAAAAATGTAAAGAATATGGTACTTATCTTCTCTTCATTATTTTTGTTTGTCATTAAAATCAGTTTCTACAGTGCCATTAATGCTGATGCTTGTATAAACATATTACTGCTGTAAAACAGTTTCTGAGACATCGTTTTCCAATCGTCTCAAATGGAGCAATTCACTTGCTGTGCAGAACTGCTTCCTTTAGGCCTGCTATGAACCTATAATTGGGTTCAAATCCCTATTTGCCTCTGCATTACTCTGGATGGTCCCACATTAAGCTCATATTCCATGCTATAACTGGAATACTATCAAAAACCACATTGCAGCCAACTCATTGTCATTAAAGCTACAAGTCAGCAAAGTGGACGGAAACTAACATATTGTTTTGAAGTTTCTATGAACATGTATATCTAATGTTTGGTACAAATGTTTTGTTGAATTCTTACTTTTGAACTTCTTTCAAAGTTGGTTTAACATTTGAATACATATGAGTACATATACATGCTGACTAGGGAGAAAACAAGTAGGAAGATAGTATGTGTCTGTTGCGTAGGCTTACAAATAGTTTTGGAACATGGTTTATTCATTTCCGTACAAGAATACTTGTTGCCAATAGCTGACATCATGATAGACAAACTGTATTTGACACCCCTCTTTGACCAAAATGAGTGTAATCAAGTCATTGTATTGGACTATGCTACTGTAAGATGAGGGGATGAGGGTGAGGATTTAAGTCAAACTTTAATTACTTCAGATTTTCATTCAGCCTATTTTTTATCTTGCTGGAATAGCGTGTTCTAAAACTCATAAGAAAACATCTTAAAAATAGAAATGAGGTTCAAAATATAGAAATGGTCATATCTGGGAAGGAGTTAGAAGTAGTGTTTGAATCAAAACAATATTTAATCAATGTTTTCCGAGATTTTTATCATGGGTCAGAATCGTGATGCACAGATTCTGCAGTTCTCAGGAAGAGGTGTCAAAAACATATCTGAATTTTCAGTTTCCAGCTAGAAAATGCCGAAGCATCTATGCAGATAGTCTGGAAAAGATGCTTCTGTATGGATGAGTATTCAAACTAACTGACATAATGTAAAATCCAACACCTTGTAGCTTGAACGTTATGGTCAAATGTCGTGTGCTGCTCATCTAGCCAACAATATCTTGATTCAATACTCGATAATGAGGTCCCACTTGTCAACAAGAGACAATATATATGGTACTGCCTTGTTCATTTACCCCCAACAGATAAACATCTGTGGCTTAAATATACCACTCAACTTTTGATAAGGAATTGCAGGTGCATTGGTGAGTGATTGTGACTGTGTGCTCAGATATGACCTACACCTAGTATTCAATATCACCATGTTGTACAGAAGCATGTTCAGCTTTGTTTCAAGTTGATCAAACAAAAATACACAGTTCAGTAAGTCGTTAAGCTGTTACTTCGCACTATGAAATATCTCCATATTCCTGTCACAGACTGAGATTTATGTGTGAGCCATGTTTGACTATGTTCAAGCCATTATGCTGTACGACAAGTTATGTTTCCAAGACATGGTCGTGTTGTCCACCATAACAGATTATATTTGTGAGCTCCAGTTGTTAAGTTGAAATGAAAGACTTTTGACTATGACTTCAGCAATAACCAAACCCTAGCCTGCGTCTACTAATGTAAAGTATTGTATATGTACATCTCTTTATTTTAATGTATTACATATTGTTAATATATTGTATGTTTTGTATATTTTGTTTAAGTTCTATAATTATTTTAAGAAGTTGAATAGCTTACATACCCCCCTGTCTATATACTGTTTCTTCCAATAAAGGAACATTCTGTGACATATTTGAGGACACTACAGTCATAATTCAGCTTAAACAATGGAAGCAGTTTAGTATTTGTGTCAGTGGAAGATTTCAAAAGGACGTACCTGTTACCTGTTCTGCTGTTTTGATGTTGACAAACACGTACAGGATCTTGTAACATATTAGTACAACAAGGAATAAAAAAATTCTACTTTACCCAAAGTCAAGTGGATACTTTAATGAGAACAACTTCTTTAATGTCTAATTACAGCAACTTTTCAGCCCAAATCCCTATACCATTGTCAAGCAAATATAGATTTGTGGATGAAAGCTTTGTATGTCTTGCTTGATAGCAGTATTAGGATGTATGCAGAAATGGTGCTGTAATAGTATATTAAAGATGTTTTTGTCATTCTTGCGCTTCTACGAAAGCCTATTAAGGAATTTACCCAAAGTATTGTTTGTATTAGTAAAGACAGTAGTTATATACCTGTGGTTTCAGGTAAATCAGATGATGAAATTTGTTTCCTTGAAACTGTAACTAAGTACTTGCATGTATATGTACTGGAAACCAGAATGAAAACAGACTCCTCATGGATAGAAGTGATGAAGGTTAAGATGACAAATGGAAGACGTTTTAGGGATGGTCCCAACCAACAAATACACACCCTGATTGCCAGATTACTTACATCAGACTTCACGATGCCATGTCAAATATTCCACCAGTAGAGCCCTGGACGTAGAAGGATGGGTGCAACTTTGGCTTATTTGGCTTTTCATTATCAAAAATCAATAATTCGAATATCAGATTTTTGAAAAGAGAATTTCATAATAATCATCGAGGGGCAGTAGGGTAGCCTAGTGGTTTAAGCGTTTGCCTGTTATGCCAAAGACCCGGGTTTGATTCCCACATGGGTACAATGTGTGAAGCCCATTTTTGGTGTCCCTCGCCATGATATTGCTGGAATATTGCTAAAAGCGGCATAAAACTAGACTCACTATCTCCCCATAATAATCTTAGTAAACTTTTGAGATCTTACCACATTTCTAACTGCTGATATTTTGTGAGCAATTTGTCGAGGTTGAAACTGTGGACTTGCATGATGATTATAGGTAAGGTTTTGGATGGTGTGTACGGATGATCATATTTAGACGTAGAGGATTTGAGTAACGCAGACAATGAATGCTATGATGGTTGTGAACAGAGTCGATACCACGGAAGAATGCTCAGTTCCATATTTTTTAAAAGGACATATTTTGCTAAAGAGTGCTTTAACGGATTGAGAAATTACCACATACAGTTTCAACTGGGTAATCAAGATATATCTTAGCTTTTCAATGTCATGCTTATTGATATTTGTTATCGAAGTTCTGATATGTCTTGAAATTTTAAATTTTCTACACTATTTATACAAACAATGTTAATACTGTCAGTTCATTGTCATGTACATTATAAGTCTGTGTGCAAGATGATGTTGATTTCTCTGATAATATGGCATTTGAAAAGTATAGCTTGAGTCTGTTGCTAGGATGGTGCTGATATATGTACTCTAATGCATTTATCTTATAGGGTTTACTATGCTGATATGCCTAATGGCCAATCATGGGGACCATCTCAAGATAAAACTTTCATAAAAATGAAATAATAAATTAAATATGTCAAAAATATTTCTTGTTTGAAGTTGTCTTTTTTTCTTAACATATCAAAATACTTTTAAGAACAATATGTCAAGTTTTGATTTGAAATGTTTTGAGGTGGTCCCTCTTTCTCCTATTCTTCATTGATCCTTTCTCAGCCAACTCTTTCCTAATGTACAACTCTGTCCTTCTTGACATTGTACATACTCATTATAGATATTTTCATATTGTTTTCATCCCAGCTTTCAACTTGTCATGTATTGTAAATAAGCCAAAGCCAATAAAATATTACAAGATGGCCTGAACCCTTGGTGATTTATGATAATAACAAGAAGACAACGTCATCAATATCCCCCTCAATGGTAAAACACTCTTCATGAATATGTCAGCTAGTTATGACTATGTCAAATGTTCGATTTTGCCCACATGGGTACAATGTGTGAAGCCCATTTCTGGTGTCCAGCGCCGTGATATTGCTGGAATACTGCTAACAGCGGCGTAAAACCATACTCACTCACTTCACATTGATCTAACGAAAACATACAACTATTCATATACTAGCATGCTTGTATCATCAACAGACTGCCTGAGTGTTCCCAGGTTTGATGTACGTACCTCAGCAATGCTGATACAGAAATAGAGTGGTACTGTTGTTATATGTCATCAGGTCCTTGAATACCCACAAAGCGGAATTAGAGTATTGAAAGGTTTTAAACTTTTGCTCCCGAAAGGAGCTACCGCCAATTTCAGCCAATGTAAAACTTATTGCCATGGAACTGTTTGCACATGGACATACAGATACCACAACCTAATGTAGTTTGTACAAGGATGTACACAGATACCACAACTAACACAGTTTGTACAAGGACGTACAAATACCACAACCTAATACATTGTGTACAAGGTCTTACATGTGCACAGATACGCCAACCTAATACAGTTTGTACAAGGATGTACAGATACCACAACCTAATACAGTTTGTACAAGGACGCACAGATACCACAACCTAATACAGTTTGTACAAGGACGTACAGATACCACAACCTAATACAGTTTGTACAAGGATGTACAGATAACACAACCTAATACAGTTTGTACAAGGACGCACAGAAACCACAACCTAATACAGTTTGTACAAGGACATACACAGATACCACAACCTAATACAGTTTGTACAAGGACATACACAGATACGCCAACCTAATACAGTTTGTACAAGGATGTACAGATACCACAACCTAATACAGTTTGTACAAGGACATACAGATACCACAACCTAATACAGTTTGTACAAGGACATACACAGATACCACAACCTAATACAGTTTGTACAAGGACATACAGATACCACAACCTAATACAGTTTGTACAAGGACATACAGATACCACAACCTAATACAGTTTGTACAAGGACATACAGATACCACAACCTAATACAGTTTGTACAAGGACATACACAGATACCACAACCTAAAACAGTTTGTCCAAGTACGTACACAGATACGCCAACCTAATACAGTTTGTACAAGGATGTACAGATACCACAACCTAATACAGTTTGTACAAGGACATACAGATACCACAACCTAATACAGTTTGTACAAGGACATACAGATACCACAACCTAATACAGTTTGTACAAGGACGTACAGATACCACAACCTAATACAGTTTGTACAAGGACGCACAGATACCACAACCTAATACAGTTTGTACAAGGACATACAGATACCACAACCTAATACAGTTTGTACAAGGACGCACAGATACAACAACCTAATACAGTTTGTACAAGGACATACACAGATACCCTAACCTAATACAGTTTGTACAAGGACATGACAGATACCACAACCTAATACCATACAAGGACATACAGATACCTAATAATAGTTTGTACAAGGACGTACAGATACCACAACCTAATACAGTCTGTACAAGGACATACAAATACAATGGCCTAATATAGTTTGTAAAAGGAGATACAGATACCACAACCTAATACAGTCTATACAAGGACATACAAATACTATGACCTAATGCAGTTTGTACAAGGACATACAGATACCACAACCTAATACAGTTTGTACAAGGACGTACAGATACCACAACCTAATACAGTTTGTACAAGGACGTACAGATACCACAACCTAATACAGTTTGTACAAGGACATACATATACTACGACCTAATGCAGTTTGTACAAGGATGTACACAGATACCACAACCTAATACAGTTTGTACAAGGACGCACAGATACCACAACCTGATACAGTTTGTACAAGGACATACAGATACCACAACCCAAAACAGTTTGTACAAGGACGCACAGATACAACAAACTAATACAGTTTGTACAAGGACGCGCAGATAACACAACCTAATACAGTTTGTACAAGGACGTACAGATACCACAACCTGATACAGTTTGTACAAGGACATACAGATACCACAACCCATAACAGTTTGTACAAGGACGCACAAATACCACAAACTAATACAGTTTGTACAAGGACGCGCAGATAACACAACCTAATACAGTTTGTACAAGGACGCACAGATACCACAACCTAATACAGTTTGTACAAGGACGTACAGATACCACAACCTAATACAGTTTGTACAAGGACGTACAGATAACACAACCTAATACAGTTTGTACAAGGACGGACAGATACCACAACCTAATACAGTTTGTACAAGGACGCGCAGATACCACAGCTTAATACAGTGTGTACAAGGACGCACAGAAACCACAACCTAATACAGTTTGTACAAGGACGTACAGATACCACAAACTAATACAGTTTGTACAAGGACGCGCAGATACCACAACTTAATACAGTTTGTACAAGGACGCACAGAAACCACAACCTAATACAGTTTGTACAAGGACGTACAGATACCACAACCTAATACAGTTTGTACAAGGACGTACAGATACCACAACCTAATACAGTTTGTACAAGGATGTACAGATACCACAACCTAATACAGTTTGTACAAGGACGTACAGATGTAGCAGTGACATTTCACTTTGTATTATATATTTTGTTTTATGTAAAATGTCAATAAAAAAAAATCATATAAAAACATTTCTTGGTGGTTTTATACAGTTTTGTGGCCAACAGTATTATTTGTGCTTGTCCTGCGTAGGCCAGGTTAATGAATATGCATTGCACGTGCATTTCATGTTTATGGGAATCTTTGTCATAACATGGATGATTTTGATTGGTTGATTGGATCGTCTGCTTCAACATGATTATACCTCGTGGTGTCTTGTGAGTTTCATTGCATTCTGAGAGCTGATAATGTGAGGTCGAGTCAGAGGAGTCACCAGGTTAGTTATATTTGGTTGTAGAATGGTTTCTAAAGTTTTAGGGTATAATATCTCACTAATGCATATAAAATAAAGTTCTAGACTAAAAACGTCTATTAATATTAAATAATGTTGGCAGTTTGGATATGTAAATATGTTGCGCTAATTCGTGATAGGCTGTAAAGTTTTTAATGCCTCAATTGGATTGCTATTCTACATATTTTCACAATGTTTCTTGCATGGGTGTCGTGCGTGTGGTCTGTGCGCGCTGTGGTGGTGACTGTTGAGAATATGATGTTCACTTCTGTGTGCTAGTGATGGGTGCATAGTGATTCATATTATCTTTGTTTTCACTTTATTGAATTAGCATCTACACACATGTCACGCATCGAGCAGATAGATGTCTAGGAGTAGCTTCGTCTTATAGACGGGTGAGCAAATATTGAATATAATGTAAACGTGTAAATATATCATTTTCCTCTGGAAAATGTAACCAATATGCTAAGTTCTTATTTGACACTCGGTATGGTCATATTTGTGAACTAACTGAAAAGGAAAAATATTTGTTACCAATGTATTTATTTCGTTCACTGTGATGCGCATATCGCTCAATGTGACCATGATTTATATGTGCTTCAGTTGTCTCCCTTTTCTTAATCAATTGTTACAAATGAGTCTGTGCTAATACCCTTGTGATAAAAAACCCAAAACATTGTGATATTAATATATATAAATGAAATGTTTACAGGGTATTCTTCTTCTACCTCTTCCTGTGATGTAAGGAATAAACAGATTCACACCCTACAGCAAGTCGTTGTTTCTCGGAGTTTAGCTGTTACACAGATACCACAACCTAATACAGTTTGTACAAGGACGTACAGATACCACAACCTAATACAGTTTGTACAAGGACGTACAGATACCACAACCTAATACAGTTTGTACAAGGACGTACAGATACCACAACCTAATGCAGTTTGTACAATGACGTACATAGATACCCGCAACTTTATGCATTTTGTAAAAGGAACGTAAGATTGTGTAAGGCTTATATTCAAGCTTCAAACGCCTCGCTGGTAATAACAATTGGCCCCCTGACTAAATTTACACAAACCATGTCAGGGCCACAGATAACAGGTGCATTATGCTTTAACTGTTGTGCTGCCCTGAACCAAGTGCATGACATCAGGGGTATTTATCAAGCATGAACGAAAAATAAGAACCGATGTTTCAAGAGGGGTATTTAAGATAAAAATACCAGACGCATGACAAGTTTTTTGTACATGTTTTGTAAACGTTTTATGTCAATATCAAAAGCAATACATGATCGCCCTTTCTGGCCCGTATACCAACGTGTACATTTCATTGCAAGACAATGCAACCGTTGTAGATTGCCTTCGTTTTGTCAAATTCTTTCGAAACGTCACGGCGTTAGATGCATGTATACAAGTCAAACCGGTGCTTATTTATACTAGCTTGTTGCTACACTGATTCTACAGATTGCTACACTGATCCTACAGATTGCAACACCGATTGCAACACCGATTGCAACACCGATTGCTACTCCGATTGCTACTCCGATTCTACCGATTGGTACTCCGATTCTACCGATTGGTACTCCGATCCTACCGATTGCTACTCCGATCCTACCGATTGCTACTCCGATCCTACCGATTGCTACTCCGATCCTACCGATTGCTACTCCGATCCTACCGATTGCTACTCCGATCCTACCGATTGCTACTCTGATCCTACCGATTGCTACAGAGGTACCCTATTCCGGGCCAGGATAGGTCCCTAGACAAACGCTGACCAATTGCGTAGATCGATTGTCATGCTGTTGATCACTGGATTGTCTGGTACAGACTCGATTATTTATAGACGGCTACCATCGTACACAACCAGTCAAGGTGTACATCAATTCTACTCTCTCCTACTTACTAATTACCATCTTAGTGTACATCAACTCATCTATTGTATAACGTTTTTAACTCATTTGGGATATTGTTTTAATCATTATCACTCTGCAAATCAACTTACTCTGCTCAAATCACTATAGCTATCCAATGTATATCAACGTTGTCTCACTATGCAGCTATGTATATATTCTCCATGTTACAACTCTTTGTATCACTTGCTTGATAACGGTCGACTATTCTACACTTAAGACCATTCTAGAGTTAAGGTCACAACACACGTCGCTCTCATTGCAATAAAGAAGTTGAATATCCATAGAACTTGGTTTTCCTACATTCTGCTTTTAAAAGAATGTTTTATCATGAACCGATTTGGAGTTAGACTGTGATTCATCGGTATCATTCTGACCCAAATAGACTGTTAGTAACGTGAAGTTATCAGTCCATTTTTACTGTACGTAATACTTTTAGATGTATGTATATATATAAGCATAATACATGTGTTGGCAAGTTGGGCGGTGGGGTAGCCTAATGGTTAAAGCGTTGGCTCGTCACGCCGAAGACCCGGGTTCGAATCCCCACATGGGCACAATGTGTGAAGCCCATTTCTGGTGTCCCCCGCCGTGATGTTGCTGGAATATTGCTAAAAGCGGCGTAAAACCAAACTCAGTCAGTCAGTCAGTTGGCAAGTTGATCCGGGCAGATTGACATAGGCCTGTTCACCAAGATGGCGTCAGGTTAAGAGCAGAGGCATTAACCTGCCGCCTTGGCATCGTGTGAGTCGGCAGCACATGCTAGGGATATTTTGTTGTTCTGGTCCTGGTTTATTGCATTCGCTGTCTAATTACTGCATTCACCATCTAATTAGCAGACACGTTGAATGAACGAGGATTATTAAACTTTCTCTCCCTGGCTTGCATATACTTCAACACAGTGTGACTTCGGAACGTTTATATGCTAACCGGTGTTTTAATCGAACGTCTGTGCAGGGTCCGTAATCTAAAATAAAAAAGTCACATCAGGTAAGATTATGTTACATGGTTTTCGGGGAATCCACCGACTTTCTCTCGTGTTGCAGCTTGGTATCACTGCACTCGTCTCAATTAGGGGCGGTGGGGTAGCCTAGGGGTTAAAGCGTCCGCTCGTCACGCCGAAGACACAGGTTCACTTCCCCACAAGGGTACAATGTGTGAAATCTATTTCTGGTGTCCCACGCCGTGATATTGCTGGAGTACTGCTTAAGCGGCGCAAAACCCTACTCACTCACTCTTAATTAGATTAATACCGCACCGTGAACGCCGTTGATTTAACATTTTAATACCCCCGAATAAAACTAATCAAGGAATATCAACATGTAAAGGAAATATCAGATGATATATACTGAGTCAAAAAAGAAACTTCACAAAATGTAATTTGAAAAATATTGAATACTTTTTCTCTGATGATACATCTATGTATCCGAAATGGGATCCCTATCTTTCAACTCTAGAAAAACGTTAGCAAAACCCACTCAAACCCATCCATTCGTCGTGCAAATGACGTTAGTGCCAAATCAGGTTTTGCACGTGCAGTCGATCACGTGATCTTCGCATCGAAGTTTTCTTCATATGCACGTGTTTGCATTGGCCTCAAGAATTGAAAAAACACTTTTAAACCACAGTTCTAACGGTACTTGAAATGCCACGATTGTCAAATGTGCAACGTGAACGTGCCGTTGGCAGTTTGCAAGCGGGAAGATCAGTTATTGACGTCGCAAGAGCAATGGGATGCAGCCGTCGTACTGTGTATGACTTGCGAGGTCGTCTACAACAAACTGGCACCACTTCTGATCGCCCAAGGTCGGGCCGTCCACGTGTGACGTCACGAGCAGAAGACCGTCATATCGTCCTACGTCACCTACGTGACAGATTTCTGCCGGCTACACGAACGAGGGCTGAGATGTTTAGAGGTCGACTGTCCTCACAGACCATTCGAAATCGGTTGCGGGCTGCCAATCTCCATTCTCGACGTCCATATGGTGGGCCAATATTGACGCCGTTTCATCAACGTCAACGTCTTCTGTGGGCCCAACGTCACCTCCGATGGACCCAGAGAGACTGGAATGGAGTCGTCTTTAGCGATGAATCCAGGTTTACCCTCAGGTTCGCGGACGGCAGGCATAGAGTCTGGAGATGACGTGAACGGTATGCCCAATGTTTTGGTCATCCGTGGAAACTCACAGCTGCTGCTTACCGCGACCAGGTGCTCACCCTTGAACTCCTTCCTTTCATGGCGGCTCATGGCCCAGGTCTACAGTTCCAGCATGATAATGCTCGGCCGCATACCGCAATGTTGACACGAAATTCCCTTCAAAACGCTGGAATCAACGTCATGGACTGGTCATCGAGGTCCCCTGACCTTAATCCAATAGAGCACGTTTGGAATGCACTTGGGAGAAGGCTTCGTGGTCTTAGGAACCAACCTCAGAATTTGAAGGAAACTTGGCGCTGCCTTGCAAGAGCAATGGCGCAGAATCCCCAACCACGTGTTCACAAGCATCAGGCAGTCGATGAGGAGACGGTGTTTGGCAGTGGTGAATGCGCGGGGCGGCCATACACGATATTGAACTGAGAAATTTCGCATTTTTATTCTTGTGACTTGACATTCTGTATACCCATGTTTTGGAACGGCGTTGTAGCCTAATGGAACTGATTATGGCACTATCAGTGTATCGAGTACATCACACAGATCTCAGCAATGAAATAATAACAATTTAACCATCTTACCATCTCTTGCTCTTTTATAGTGCCCTGAAGAAAGAATGTTAGGTTTCTTTTTTGACTCAGTATATACTTATGAAACGTATTGGAAAGGTACATTTGAAACATGACTTTCATTTTGAAACAATTTCATACGTTATCAAAATGTACAAAATCTGTACACCAGAGTCTTCGACGTCACAACATTACCCATGATAAAGCATATCCACTCCTGACCCTAATAATATTCAGGTCGTGTGGTGCATCTCATACGTATAAACCCATGCATTAAACCGTGTGTATTTTTACGATTTGTCCCCTGTGCAACTCCCTGTGTCAGGGCATGGAGGGGTATCGTGTTCTGTTGATATTTTTCTACTTCAATGAAGACATGCGATATATGACCTTGAAAGACAAGAGATGCACTTAGTGGTACGTAATCAGTACATTTGTTGGCGCCAGCATGTTCCTTCTGTAGTACTGTTCAGTGACCCTCCCATGGATAATATGCAGTTACATTCAGGCAGTCATAGCCCCGTACCATTACAGAACCTCTAAATCTGCTGCCTGTCATTGACGTTCGTATGGCTTTCGCTAGGACACCTTCAGACACGTCCAGGCCTACCCAGACCACCCGGAGAGAATCCCAAAACATTACATGAGATCATTCTAAAACTAGCCGATCGCCACCAGTGCCTGTCCAGACAGTGTAGATTTGGTTACGAAGGGTACAAAATGCCATCGCTGAGCATCCAGGATTATATACTCTCCAAAAAAAGAAACGCATCATGAAAATAGCAATTTCATGTAGCAATGAATTAAAACGTGATTCATTTTACAAAGGGTTTTGCTCTGTATATGAGTCCTATGGTGTTTATGTTTCGAAACATCACAACAAAACACACGATCCGTAAAATACCCGTATTTAACAGCATGATTTTCAATTTCGGCGTGTAGTGTCACAGAATACACAATTAACATGCAATGCACGTGAAAGTTGGGGATCAGATAGTCTCAATGATGGGTATAAAAGGTTGATCGCTGTCTGTCGATTATTCACTGTATTTGGAATATTGTTGGCGAACGCAAAATGCCACGTCTAAGTGAAGCCAACCGTCATATCGCCATTGGTTTGCTTGAAGCTGGCCAGTCTCAGTCAGCACCATTTCACGGCTCTGGGAGAGGTATCGTCGGCAGAATGCGGTAGCAGATGCCCCTCGTAGTGGGCGACCTCGAGCGACTACTGCGGCGCAGGATCGCTACATCCGGGTACATCACCTGCGTCATCGAACAGCTACGGCGACCAGTACCGCTCGACAAATACCCGGATTCAGGAGGCTTTCTGCAGTGACCGTCAGGAACAGGTTGAGAGAGGCTGGTTTACGTGCCAGAAGACCTTATTTTGGCCCTGTGCTTCGACAACAACATCGTCGACATCGAGTTCAATGGTGCACCAACGTTCAGGCGTGGAACCTACTGAATTGGCGTAGAATCTGGTTCAGTGATGAATCACGATTTCTATTGGAACGACGCGATGGAAGAATGCGGGTGTACAGACATCGACGTGAACGTTTCGCCGACGTTTGCGTCCCCCAGGTGGACAGATTCGGCCGCGATAGTGTTATGATTTGGGGAGCGATCACCTGCCGTAGGAGAAGTGATTTGATGATGATCCAGGGCAACCTGACAGCTCAACGGTACTGTGACGAAATCCTACGCCCACACCTCCTTCCAATCATTGATCGCCAGAGGGAGTTGTTTCAACAGGACAATGCCAGGCCCCACACAGCACGTCACACTAGAGACTTCCTCCAGAACCACAACATCAATGTGCTCCCCTGGCCCTGAAGATCACCGGACTTAAACCTGATCGAACATATGTGGGATGCCCTGGACAGACGGGTGCGACGCCGTAACCCTCAGACCCAGACACTTCAGCAACTCGCACAGGCACTACAGGCAGAGTGGCCTGCGATTGGGCAACACGAGATCCTGAGCGCAACCACACGTTTCCATGTGACACTCAAACTAACTTTCCTCGAGTTGGTGCCAAAGGCGGATAAGTCTGCATTCCCAGTGTACAATTTCGCTATATTTCATTGACTCATAACGCCTACAAGATGTTTCAAAATAAGCATAAAAATACAGTTGAAATTCCTATATGCGTTTCCTTTTTGGGAGAGTATATTTTGCCTTGCCAAATTTCACCCTTAAGCGATCGCCTCTAGGAATTAAGCAAAAGGCACTATACTGCAGACGTTTTTCATTATCAGAGTCATTTCTAATAATTGTCTCAGTTGATCAGGAACAACTGTACTCCGTATTTAAACCGTTTGTTGTTAAGCAGGAATAAAAGCGGACCCGGCACACAAGCATGTTTTCTAACAGGGCATTGAAAGTAGTCGATGTAACGCAGTACCAAGAATATTTCGTGATCAGTGCCAAGTGTTCTTTTGATTAGATACTCTAAAAAATCATATTTTAAAAAATTCGTCATCAGGCTACAACTGTTTATTCAATAAGCTAAGCACAATTTCAAAATAGGCCATAATCTATTT